CCCCACCGGCTCGGTAAGGCGGTTGAAGATGTAGGAATTCGCCACCTCCAAGTAGTGTTTCAGAACCAGAGGGAACTACTACTTATGAGTAGCTTTGTCCAATGATCGACGCTCGATTGCGCCCATGACCGATGTTGCATTTGTTTCCGAGGGATTACTATCGGTAAGGTGTTTCAAACAGACCGATCAAGTAAGTCAGGGATGGAACTGCTCCTCGATGCGCACAGCTACATTTGCTATAGCTAGCACTGCTACGCTACAGCCGGGACAATCACTGGCGAAGTTCTAATGGCAAGGAGTGGAAGTTTGCGATAAGGCTGATTCGGACGGATATCTTGCAAGGCGCACAAATGACGATTGATTAATTCATTTTTTTAAGGAAAGGCCGTGTGGCAGCTAAAACATATGGTGTCGTCATATATCCATGAAGACGATATCTGGGATCGGAACTCGACTTGCTCAGATGGAATATTGGTTGAAATATTCTTAAGACGACATGGGATACCTGGTCTGCCATCTAAGTTCTGCATACCAAATAGGATGGTAAGCCATTTAGTGTCGCATCGATCCTCCTGTATGTTATATTGCCCAACAAGGTAGGTAGTAAATAGATGCCAAAGCCGCTTAGTGGACTGACATTGTTGGGATTACATAGCTAGGGATTGTGGCAAGGCAAATTAGTACAAATACTGCCAAGCTTGTTGTAAGGTTGTTGTAGTTTCCTCACACTCAACTTACACAGCATCACAATTGCTGACTTTGTTGAAAATACAACTCCAAATAATCAGCCATTTCCTGCAACATGCACTCCAACGGAATCATCTACGCCGCCCTCGCCGCCTTGTCCATGGTGAGCACCGTGGCGGCGGTCAAGTGCAGCGCCGACTTTTTCTGCAACCAGATTGACTGTTCTGTCCCATATCAATTCCCGTCCGGCTGCGGTGATGGCAGGTCTGGCACCTGGGGCGTACACGCCGAGGTAGATTGGCACTCCTTACTTGATTGACTTGTGTGAGTTGTCGACTTACTTATTTCTTGCAGGCCTGTGGATATGTCGACTGCAACTGCGCCACGAACTCGGCTGTGTTCCTACAGACTTGCTAAAGGGCTAAAGGACTACGTCTAAAGCCACCCTGATAAAAGCCTTGACGGATGTTATTCAGGGATTGGCATCATGGGCTAGAAGGATGACATAGAATTCTTCCAACTCTCCATGACAATGAGAGACGAGGCCTCATGGGCCACTATAGCCAATTGGAAATTTTTCTATTGCATACGTCAATCCGTTATAATATCGGAGATTTGCGTGACCACTTGCCTTTACTCGACTTTTGCACGTTCTAGTATACCAGGGTATACTATCCTAACTAACGCCCATGTCAGTTGTAGATGGGGGCTAGACAATAACTGGGAGAAGTTGTACATTATCTGGTGCAATCACTATCGTACCTAGTCCAGATTCACCAGTCTAAGCCAGGCAACCAACACACGGCGCCTTCCCATTTGATGTGTATCCAGCAGGTTATTGTACATAATCTTCTACCATAATTATTTCTCGAATCACGTCCATATTGTCATCTATGTCTATGTTCTGCCCTCTATTGGAAGTACTCTCTCGGGCATGATATATCCATCGTGTTTTTGGCGGCCTCGCGGCTTTGTGATGTCCTTGGTGTACTCCATGAAAATATATGCCGGTGCGATTCTCACTGCTATGATAGATATAGTCCTCGGAGGAGTCTATAGCTTGGACCTTCTGACCACCTTGGCCGGTTGACCCATTACCACACTCCAGTCAGGCACATCCCTTGTCACAATTAAACCTGCAGCAATAATACAGCCTTTTCCAATCGTGACCCCAGAAGTATGACTGAATGTCCACTAATCCAGCAATCATCCCCCATCGTCACTGACCTTGCAAACTCTACGCCGTCACGTCGGCTTTGAACGTCTGTCTCATGTGTTGCTCCAAAAATTGACACATTGGGACCCAGCATGACCCGATCACCGATGTTATGATGGCGCAGTCCAGGATACAAAGATTGAAGTTTGCGTATTGCGTAGAACCGTTTTCCAAACTTGATATTGCAGCCGTAACCGATCGAGAATGGGGGTTCAATGCAAATATCGTCGCCATCAATGTCAACAATGATTTCGCCTAGAAGCTTCCGACGCGCCTGTGAGACCTCCTCGGCATTTTTTGCGTCTTCGGGGAAAAAGCTGTTGTAGTGCATGGTCCACTTGCGCGCCTTGAATCTAGCAACCGCGAGTTCTGAAGCACCGGCGTCGTATCTAGCATAATGTAAGAACTCCAGATTCATATTTGTTACGAATGGCAGCCCCTACAGCATGCCTGATATCATCTTCTCCTACTCGTCACACCATGACACAGGAGCCAACGGCTTAGCTTTGTCCAGCTCTCCAACACTTTTATCTTTCGCTGCCATCCCTGATGTTTTTGATAGCCAAGCGAGCAGGGAGCATGTGAGATTAGGAACTTGCTCCGAGCAGATTTGATGTCAGGCCAAATTGCATTCAGAATTCAGTACCCCCTCGTCTCATGCATTAGTAAGTCCAGAGGACAAGCCAGACTAGAACCAATTCGCTACTTTGTCTGAGCAAGGACAGATGGCGTGTCTGTATGTCCCGAGATGCGGACTTCGTCGGGAGACGGACCGATGCTGTGCTGTAGGTGTGGAGTTCGTATCAGTGAAGGTACTTTTCAAATTTCAGTGTTGGGACTAGCATTCACCCAGTAGTCTTCCCTGACGGGGCCTGGCTGTTCCCTGTCGGACCGCTTTACCGTGGCCCCTTCATGATCAAAACATAGCCACTGTTTTGTAAAAGTAGGCACTACTTGAGTAATGCGCTCATAACAACTTAACTCAAACAAATTGTTAACTGAAATTATCTTCATTTATAGTTAGAGTATTTAGAATCTGTTCTGTCCTTTCAATGCATTTCATCTAAACAGTGAAGGGCTATGCCATCCGGAAACATACCAGGTCTTTTACAACACCTATTATGTCATAAGAAACCACACTGTTTGCAACTTGGATTGTCTCGACTAGCTTAACTGGAACTACAACCGGGCCTCTTCTCGTTCATGACAGACTACTGCTATCTAATTTTCACTTCCTAATTAGTATAATATCGTGAAAAGAGAAGAGTTCTATGTTTAATCAAGCCTATTTCTTTCAATGGTAAGAAGTTCTAGAGATGTACGAAGGAGCCTGTAATAATACTCCGTAGATCGTAGTTAGATGTCAAACATGGTCTAACCTCTTTCAGTTTTAAATAAGCGACGCTAAAGTTCTATTATGGGTCGGTCTCTGATAACACGAAGATACTTCTCGCTTCTGTCCAACCTCGAAGCACGTCAAGCTGAAAATCCATGATTTCTTTCCAATTCAGTATAAGTTACTGGAAGATGTCATAAAATGCGCAGAAGGTGGGTCTGTAGGGAAAACCGGTGTCTCATGGTGGGTTCCGGTCGCGATTTCGGGCTCAAGTCAACCTCTAGTCTTTCATGTTGGCGAGACTTGGCAATACCACCATGCGAGCAGACCGCTTGTGCGGCACATAACGGCCAAGACACATTTCTTTATACCTAGACTATATCGCTACGTATTTCTGATGTTCCAACTGTCTTCTATTTCTATGTCGTCAGCAATCTCAATATTTTGGACACTGAGTTTGACAAAATGCCGTCCGAGGAGAATGATAAGCATCAGACTTCCTGCACGGAAAAACAGCAGAAGGGCTATTCAGACGTCACCGCATCAAGCGTTGAAACGCCTGATGTATTCACCGAACATAGAGACATCGCTGAAGGAGCAAATGAGGTCGAGCATTGGAATAAACCTTTGACCAATGTAGGAAGATTGGTCTTTGCGTTTATGTCCTTCATCATCGCCGGGATGAACGATGGCGCTGTTGGCGTGCGTACATTCAGTTTCCATCATTCAAGATGACCCTGTTGACAACAATATATAGGCTTTAATCCCATATGTAGGTTGCATAATGCTGTTCACCGCGAGTTCCGAATACAAAATTGACATCTTCAGTTAGAAGAATATTACGACCTTAGTTATACCACATTGTCGCTGGTTTTCTTGACGCCATTTGTGGGCTACTCTCTCGCAGCCTTTACCAATGCGACCATCCACATGAAATTTGGACAGAGAGGAATTGCTTTTATTGCGCCGATTTGTCATATCATCACCTGCACTGTCTTGGCTATTCACCCACCTTGGCCAGGATTGATTATCATCAATATATTTTGTGGTTTCGGCAATGGAGCATGTGATGCCTGCTTCTGTGCATGGGTTGGTGTTATGAGCAAGGCAAACACAATTCAAGGCTTCATGCATGCTTGCTACTCCGTCGGTGCTTTGCTTGCGCCTATGATAGCAACAAGCTTTGTGGTTTCAGCAAAATTACCCTGGTATACCTTCTACTACGTCATGGTAAATATCTGCCCCAAGCACATTGAAAGAAATATAACTCACCTTTCCAGGTCGGACTGTCAGTAATAGAATGGGTGGTCTTCTCGTCACGTTCTGGCATAGAACCGGGGCCGCGCATCGGATGAACCACCAGCACGAGTCAGCAAAGGGCGGAGTTGGCCTCCGTGAAGCGCTCAAATCGAAGGTGACATGGCTCTGTGCCGCTTTCTTTTTTGCCTATATGGGCGCGGAAGGTATGTGATTCCTAGACTCTTCCTTTGCAACGACTAACTCATTTCCTGCCTCGCAGTTGGCATCGGTGGATGGGTTGTAACGTTTATGCTACGAGTCCGGAATGCTTCTAGATATGCTTCCGGTCTGTCTGGTACTGCTTTCTGGGCAGGTATGACGGTTGGGAGAGCAGATCTCGGCTTCGTGACAGAACGATTTGGTGAGCGCCTCTGTATCATGATCTACCCGATCACGGAGGATTTACCGTGCCTCCACTACGGCGTCTATGAGATCTCGTGGAATACTACGACATAGATATCCGAGCTTCATGTGCTACGGTACCTTGATATTTTATCCCAACAAGTTCAGATTTCTCAACTGGATGCTAGAGAATATTCCCATTATTATAGCCTAATCTTGAACCTCTAAGCATCACATGCTGAGCTCGTCCAACAACTTTATCGTACTCGAGAGGCACAGAAATTGCCACGCCCAGACACATCACTACTGCCAAGCGGCGACGACACCCACCTGCCATCTGCGACGCTAATCGCAATCCTACGGGGATCTTAATGCGAAAGGAATAACGGGCTTTCGGACTGCATACCATCCCTCTAGCGGAGCAATATAGAGAGACGATTTGTGTTCGGCGCCGGAGTTCGGGCGTTATGGCATGGTCGCCTCGGTCTTGCGCTTCCAGTATGCGAAGTATAATTATATTAATATGTTATACGATAATGGTATAAACACATTAGAATCATTTAGCATTCTCGGATTTTATGTTATGCGTTGAAACTTGAATGTGGCTGTTTCGGTGGTGTAAGTTACAGATTTACCTACCCTATAGCCACACGACATAACCAACTACAGGCTGTAGCTATCAGTAGAAATCCTTGATTATAACCTTATGATAAGCTCTTCTTTCTTAATTAGGTTAATTTCACCTTAATTCTCGCCGTCTCTCGAATTCTCCCTTAAAACAACCTCCTCTCAATTAACTGATAGGTGTAAGTCGTTGGCTGACTCAGAACCAGAAGTCTCGCTCGTAATAATCAAACAAATCAATGTTTTTAGATTCTATATAACGACCTGAGCCGTTATTTAAGCATTCATTAATAGCTTCGTCGTTTAGATAAGTGTCAGTAGGGTGGCCGAGTCAATGATGCAAAAGACTGATCCCCCGCCGCTCACTTCCCAAACCAACAACGGGCCGTGCGCTGGGACGCGTCGCGTCAGAACATCCAACATCGGTAACACCCTCAGCACGAGTCGAAATATTCAAGTATTTGCTAAGGCAATACCCGTATATCATTGAGTTCCACCTTTATCCTCGATCATGGTTCTTTCCCGCGCGGAAAGGATCCAAAATGCGATCTGCAATGTGCAGTTTGGGGTGTCGGAAGACTTCGCATCACGCCGCTGGAATGTGCCCGTCGCCGAAATACGAGCTGGCCTTCAAAATTCAACTATTAGGCACAGGATTCCTCGCAAGAATCGAAGCCGCGTGCCGCGACAGGACGAAAGCCGCTTCGTTGGCCACATTTTGAAGGAGGAGGAGACTGCTAAGTCTCCCATGACACCAATGGATCTCGTGGATTTCATTTATTGCTATCTAAGCCTGAATGGAGATACCGCGCCCCTGGAAAAGGACTTTGTTGCCAACTTCCTGCACCGCAATCCTGAGGTTGAGTTGGCTGAAGACGGTTTGTCTTTTTTTCACGTTTTTTTTTTTGGAGCTCTGGTCATTAACCTTTTGAAGGCTATCTTCGTGTTGTTACTGAAGCTAGCGACGAGGAGGAGGCCGGTAGACAAATGGAGTGTGATTCGGATGATTCCGAAAATCCAAACTCTCTCGCGCCATATGTCAGCCAGTTTCCGTTCCTCGTGGTTGAACAAGAATCAGAAGACGATGGATCTGATGAAGCAGATGATTTAGACGTAGAGGCGGAGGTTATAGAGCGCTAATGATTTCCTTTACCAATAAGTCCTTGTAGCTTTCATAGATAGTTTACTTGATGGACACACTTTTTGAAAGCTTTGCCGACCAGGGCCCTTCCCTGTTGTACATGCGCTTCTAATTTACACGTCTGAGTAATTGTTGGGCTACCATTTTCTTGGATCTGTTAGTCATATGTCGCGTAGTTGTCATGGTCACTGGGTCGGCAGAAAGCGCCAGGACCTCGGGACGAGCGGCCTCGAGACCAGCTTGGAGAGCATGAACTTCAAGGAGCGCAGTTGAATCTGCTTGGAAGAGATGATGGATGTAAATGCAAGCCGCCGGTTATGCCGATATTTTACGAGAAGTTAAACACCATCTTCACGAGGCTTGCATCCAAGAAACAGGCCTAAATACCAATTCGACAAACTCGTTGTAGAGCTGCCCCTTACCTCAAGCCCCTTATCAAAGAACTTTGAGGTGGTAGTAAATCGCCCTCGCGTGTGGGTTTCATTTTGTGACAAGATCCAGGTAGAAGGAGCTTTTAGGTCGTTGGCTGAATCGAGATTCTAATAGAGGTACGACGGTTTGTTCCTTGGCCCCCTGCACATACGTGTTCACATTTTCCTGGTCAGCTGAGCGAGCTACCGCCTATCGCAGGGACTTTTGTAGGGAAGGGTAGGATAAAGGCCAATGAACATTAATTGAGAGACCCAAGTCATGAGTTAAACCAAGTCAGAGCCTGAAGGAACCTGAGAAATGATGTAGCAATTGTAAACTCGAACCTGGCATGGTAATATTGAAGGATAGCTACTTATTTAGATAAAAGCCTGGTGGCGGCCAGCCAGGCAAATGCCACCATTCGGCATGGGAGCTTCTGGAACTCAAGGATTCACACATGAGCTTGGCGTTCCACCACCAAAACGTATGTTTAGGTGATTCTAGAGCATGCCATATGTGATCCCAAGCTAACTTGTGCATGTAGGTATGGGAAGATGTAGTTTGGTGCTCAGTAGATACATAGCCATCACTGGATGATTTGACGAAGGATCTAATAGAGATTTCCTAGGCATCAGGACTATGCACCAATTGTGGGTAAATTGACAACTTAGCACTTAAGTCGCTTGATAGGAGCCGAATCAGCTTAAGTCATTGCGCAAGAAAAGGTAGTAAAGGGTCGATAAGTATATTACTTTCTGGTAGATAGTTGGCTCAAGTAGGAAAGGAATTTGGAGTGCTTGAGGACCAAAAAAGTTGGGGGCACGGCTAGTAGCTAATGATTTCTGCTGTGGGTCTTCCAGAAGACGAGCCCCCGCAAGGAATTCCTGATTCGTGAATCTTGGATACAATCTCATGTCACAAACCTCCTAAACTGACAGGGGCAACTCATGAATAAATGGATGTATTTACAGATGTATTTAAAAGAAAGCCTTGCCATTTTCGCCTTACAAAATGATGTATTTATTAAGACATGTCCCGCTACAGCTTGTTCTCCCCGGCTGTGGTTCTCCTTTCATTCTCCTCTTCATAGCCATACCACAGGCTCTTCCTTGGATTCAGAAAATATTGCCCTACCGAACTGTCCAACAATGACTTCAGAACCATCTAAGAGTCGTGGGCCCTTCACGCCTGCACTGTTCATCGCATCCATCATGACTGCGGTGAACATTCAGTTGCTCCTCCTCACAGGTATGTGCTATCTCTACGGCACTGCCTTCCATCCAGCATCTCGATACGGCAATCTGAATATTGTGGCAATCAATTTGGATCATGGCGACATTAGAGCTGCATTAACTCTCGCGTCCTCCCAATTTGACGGACGCTATCACCTCCCGACCGTCAAGATTGGTTCGAGCCAGGACTACCCCGACCTCGACTCGATTCGGAACTCTGTCTGCAAAGCCGACTACTGGGCTGCTGTTGTCATAAACAGCGGCTCATCCGATAGATTCTACGGAATCATGAATGGCTCTATGAGCATAGACGAGTACGACCCGGCCGCCGCTGCGACTTACATCTACAACCAAGCTCGCCATCCCAATATCGCCGACTCTATCCTACTACCAGGCATAAACGCACTTGTCAAGGCCACTGCCGAATCATTTTACGAGTCTTCCAATGCCAAGAGTGCACTCATGAACCTCAACACTTCCAACGTCCTCCTCCCCGCGATCAAAACCTACCTCAACCCCATCGGAACGACAGCGGATCTAATCCAGCCTACTCCCCAACCCAACCGCTCCTTCTATAATACCGTCAACATGGTTATACCCCCATTAGCCCAGTTCTTTTTCATCTTGGCTCTGAATGGAATTAGCATGAAACTGAACTTCTTTTCCGCGGCATCAGTACGTGACGTCTGGGTGTTTCGATTTTGTACTGGCAAAATATATACCCTCATCAGCGGGTTGTCCATGTCTGCCTACATCTATGCCTACCGAGAGAGTTGGGATATTGACGGTGCCGTCTTCTGTAAATCCTGGATGCTCTATTGGCTCCTCATGGATATCCACTGGCAGGTTATGGAGACCTTGATCGCTTGCTACATACCAATGCAGTTCTCGCCCTTCTTCGTCTTCCCCTGGATCATCACGAACGTCTCCAGCACGGTGTTCCCATACGAGATCATGCCTGCATGGTACAAGATTGGCTACGCCCTCCCTTCTAGCGGAGTATACACTTTGATGATTCACATCTGGTCTGGGTGTGGCAGCCAGCTGCGAGTGGCGTTGCCGGTTCTGTTTGTCTGGTGGGCTCTAGGTCATGTCACGTCGGTTTTTGCTGTGCGCAAGCGGTGCTCTGATTCTGCCAAGGAACCTTGGTCGTCGAGCGATTCAAATTGAACAACACGATCAAAGGGCGCGTTATATTTACACTGTTAAGGTAGAACTACTGAGTCACGGCAAAATAGCATTATTCGAAGCAATGGAACGAGATGGGTTATATCAACTCTGAGTTGTACGATCATATATAACAGTAGAGAGAACAATATAAAAATTTGGTCTGCTAACAATGACCTAAAAATGGTTGGGGTCGCGATGTATTACTTGCAAGCAGGCAAGGTTATCGATAACATTATTATTGGTGCCTGGTTAATAATTGGGATTCCATGAACGGGATTGTACCAAATCTTCCGGTAAGAAATCTTGGCACATCGTCGCTAATACAGCCTTTGCCAGGCAGGCCGTGTGGATTACTGATAAGTTATGAATGTGAGACTCTCGAGGCTCGTCAGCCGACATATCGTGGTATATACCTGCCCTTTCCCGTCGTCATCAGAAGCACGAAGAGCAGCTCGAAGGGTTCACAGAATTCAGAGTGAACCAAGCTTATTAGATCGTCTTCAAATTTTTTCAAAAAGACCAACTGAACTGACCACTGCATTCTACAAGCTAAACTTAATAAGGAGAGAATGGTTCATTGATATACGTGTTGGATGCCTGTTGGATTCATGAAAATTTATGCTCCATTCGTAACGGCGGTCTCAAGGCAGACGCAAGGCGTTTTTGAGAGTAGGTAATAAATGATAACTGCACATCCAATAGGTCAGGCAGATCTACCCCGCCGTTGGGATGACACGCATATCCCGTGACCTCAGCATGCACCCAACTGTGCCAGCCTGGCAATTCCAATAATCTCCTTCTGTGCCTAACCCGCCTACTCTCACGGGAAATCAAGAAGCAGCGAGTGTCACGAGAAACATCTAATTCTGGGTATCCAGCTTCGGTGATCCGGCACTCTCTTGCCGATTCAGTTCCGCATCTGCGACCATGCGACTTCTCCAGCTGCAAAATGGTGTTTTGAGCCTGACTAAAAATTTTGATGATGATATTCCTCCATACGCAATACTCTCACATACATGGGGGGAAGATGATCAGGAGGTCACGTTGCGGGATGTTGTGCAGGGAAAAGCCAAAGGCAAAGAGGGATATCGGAAGATTCAGTTTTGTGGCAAGCAAGCTACCTCGGACGGACTTCACTATTTCTGGGTAGACGCCTGCTGTATCGACAAGTCAAGCAGCGCTGAGCTTCAAGAGTCTCTCAACTCCATGTTTCGCTGGTATCAAAATGCCGCGAAATGCTACGTGTACTTGGCAGATGTTCCAAGGAAGGCCGAGGTCGATGACCTACGTCGAGCAGACTGGAAGTTAGACTTGCGGACAAGCAGATGGTTCCGTCGAGGCTGGACACTTCAAGAGCTACTTGCTCCATCAATAGTGGACTTTTATTCGTCTAATGGGGAAAGGCTGGGTGATAAAACATCGCTGGAGTCACTACTAAGCGAAATCACTGAGATCCCCGCCCCAGCCCTTCGAAACAATCAGCTATCGACATTTAGTGTGGAAGAGCGGATGTTGTGGATAAAACATCGTGACACCAAGAAGGCAGAAGATATGGCTTACTCTTTATTCGGCATCTTTGACGTTCAAATCCCGTTGCTTTACGGCGAAGGGAAAGAAAAAGCGTTTGGGCGGCTTCGACGGGAAATTGACAACCATGATTACCAAACGAGGGTAGTCAGCAAATTGCCGATTGCCTATGGAGCTGCCTTTGATTCACACGCTGAAGAACACAATCCTACATGTTTGAAAGGCACTCGAGTTGAACTACTCTCTCAGATATCCAAATGGGCTGATGATCCGCAAACCGAGGCATTGTTTTGGCTTAATGGCATGGCGGGCACAGGGAAATCAACTATTTCGCGCACACTAGCATCGTCTCATCATGTAGATGGCCGTCTTGCTGCCAGCTTTTTCTTCAAGAAAGGTGAAGCTGATCGAGGAGGGGTTTCGAAGTTTTTCACCACCATTGCGGCTCAGCTGGCCCGATATATTCCAGCAACTGCGCAGCATATCCACAGCAACATCAGTGCAGATCCTGCCATAGTGGAAAAAGCAATGCCAGTGCAATTTGAAAAGCTCATTTTGCAGCCTCTAATAGCTAGTAGGGCTGCGAGACTACCAGCTCCTTCAAACCTAATCATCGTTGATGCTCTTGACGAATGTGAAGTTGAGAAAGACATGACGCTGATCATCAAACTTTTTTCTGATACTAGGCGAAAGGCTCCTGGATTGAAGGTTTTCATTACCAGCAGGCCCGAGCTACCCATTCGACTTGGCTTTAAAGCTACCAAAGGCGCCTATGATAAGGTGATCCTTCATGAAATAGCTGACTCGGTGATCAAACATGACATAGCTGCTTTCCTTGCGCATGGGCTAGAACAGATAAGGTACGACTACAACGAGTCTGTCGAAGAACAGGAACGACAGTTGCCAGCCACCTGGCCTACACAACAAGATAGCCAGGATTTGGTCAAGATGACAGTGCCACTTTTCATTTCCGCGGCGACGGTCTGTCTCTTTATCGCAGATCGAGTAGGTGGCAACCCTCGGAAAAAACTTGAAAAGATTTTGATGAACAAAGCACGAGCTCAAGGATCCAAGCTTGATACTATGTACTTAATAGTCCTTGAGCAGCTACTTGCAGGTCTTTCCGACAAAGATTCACAGGAGGTTTTAGCGCAATTCCGAAAAGTCGTTGGTTCTATCGTCGTTCTTGCGACTCCTCTGTCCCCATCTGCATTGGCACGATTACTTGAGCTACCGATTGAGGATGTTTCAGACCTTCTGGACCTTTTACATTCGGTTCTCAGCGTTCCGTCATCGTCAAAGCAACCTATTCGACTGTTGCACCTATCATTTCGCGATTTTCTCCTGGATCCGAAACGATCAGAGATAGATCCATTTTGGATAGACCAGGAAAAAGCCCATAAGCAATTGGCAACTGATTGCTTTCGTATATTGAAGAAATCGCTTCGAAATGACATTTGCGGAATCCGCCATCCTGGAACCGAACATTCATCTATCGACCCGGAGAAGATTAGCACAATGTTGCCCGATGAAGTCCGATACGCATGTGAGCACTGGGCGTACCATCTACGTGAATCCGGTGAAGATGTATTGGACGGTGGAGAAGTGCATACGTTTCTCTCTGAGCACTTCCTCCGGTGGCTGGAGGCTTTGAGTCTAATCAGGAGGCTGAGTCAGAGCTCGAATACAATAAGGATTGTGCGGAATTTGATGCCGGTATGTGCAATTCTGACAGGAGAAACCTATCTATACCCACGTGCTAATTTATCGTAGGCTAAGGACAATTCACTAATTGCGCGGTTCTTAGACGACGCTATTCGATTTATTTTTGGTTTCGGCCAAATCATCCACCAGGCTCCCCTTCAAGTATACTCATCGGCACTTATATTTGCACCTCGAAATAGCATAATCCGACTGTCTTTTGAAAATCAAATCTCAGGGTGGATATCTCTGAAACCAAAGGTTCCTCCCAATTGGAGCTCAAACATGCAGTTGCTTGAAGGCCACAAAGCCGAAGTAGTCAAAGTTGTCTTCTCACCCAACTCGAAGTTCGTAGCGTCATACTCGTGGGATGGGACCATCAAACTCTGGGCCGCCGACTTGGGTACTCTTCTGCAGACACTGAAGGACCATGGCCAAATGGTAGAGTCATTTGGATTCTTCCCCGATGGGGAGATCCTGGGTTCAGTGTCATCCGATGGGGCCATTCGGCTGTGGGATGTTAACACGGGCGCGCTACTCCAGACACGAGACATCCAGTTCGGGCCGGTCGGGTTCTTTTCAGCTGTTTTCTCATCCGATATGAAGCTGCTGGTGACGGCATCATGCGATAAGCTGGTCCGAATCTGGGTGACCGGTACAGGCGCGCTACAGCGAACTCTCGATGATCACGAGAACATGGTAAATGTAACATCGGTCGCATTCTCATCGGATGCAGCACTCGTGGTCGCGAGCTCGAATAGCCACAAAGTCTTGGTTTGGGAGACCGACACGGGTACGCTGCTACACGTAATTACAGATTTGGCTTGTGTCCATTCTGGTGTCGATTTTCCTGCCGATTCGGTTTCGTTCTCGCCCAATTCGAAGCTCGTGGCGTTCAGGTCGGAAAACAGCATGGAATATACTGTCCGAATCTGGGATACCAACACGGAAGCGCTACTGCAAACGCTTTATAATGATGATATTATGGATTCGGTCTCATTCTCTCCAGACTCGAAGCTCGTAGCAATAGCGTCATGCGAGGAGATCCAGCTCTGGGACGTCGACACAGGCGTCATGCAGCAGGTTCTCAACGGTCATAGGGAGGACGTTCTCTCGGTTAAATTTTCGCCTGATGGGAAGCTTGTGGCCTCGGGATCACAGGATGGTACTCTTCGGCTGTGGGATGCTAATATAGATGCGCCGTTAGAGACAGACTATGATGATTTCATCCTCTCACTCTCGCTCTCTTCTGATAAAAAGATTGTGGCTTCAGTATCAGGCGACGGCACTGTCCGGCTCCGGGACACTTACTCGGGAACTCTACAGTGCACACTTGAAGCCCACAGTGCGCCTATAGTAGAAGTTACATTGTCACCTGACGGGAGGACTGTGGCCTCAAGTTCAAAGGATGGAACTGTCCGACTGTGGGCTGTCGACACAGGTGCCCTTAGACACACTTGCAAAGATTGTACTGGCAATTCTATCCTTGGCACTCGGCCATTTGCGTTCTCTGCAGACTCGAAGCTTTTCGCGTTGGCAACAAGCTCCAATATTCTGCTCTGGGCCGTCGACACAGGTAGTCTACTATTATATCACGAGTGGGACCCTTCGCGCTGGACACATTCGCTCGTGTTCTCACCAGACTCGAAACTTTTAGCCTCAGTGTCGCCTGGAGCCATGAACCTGTATTCCACAGTCCCAGTCTCGGCATCATCGGACGGTACAGTCGAACCCTGTTCCTTGGTGATTCACCGGACCCTCAAAGGTCCTGACATTAGATCTCCGTCAGGGCATGGAGTGTTCTCGCCCGACGGGATGTTGCTAGCATTGCCATGGCATGATAAGGATATTCGGCTTTGGGCTATTGGCTCTGGTGAATTACGGCACACTCTCGAGGGTCATAGGACAACCGTCAATGAAGTCGCGTTCTCACCCGACTCAAAATGTGTGGCCTCAGCATCGGATGATGAGACCGTCCGACTCTGGGAAACTGGCACAGGTATGCTATGCCGCGTCATTGAAATTGGTTTTCCTTTAAAATGTCTTAAGTTTCTTTCTACCAACAAACTTCAAACTAATGCTGGCATTATCACTGTTGACAAGCCAAACACGGAACCATTTCAGTATATAACTCCTGTACTGCGTTGTGGTCATAATAGCTTTTCTGGCTTTGGCATGAGTTTCGATCACAGCTGGGTCACTTTGAACGGACGGAATTTGATTTGGCTGCCGCCAGAATTCCGACCCACATTGAGCCCTCCGTTTGTTTTTGGCTCTACGGTTGTGATCGACTGCAAGTCTGAAATTATCGTCATGCGCTTCTCAGAAGACGAATTTCGGAGATATGGCGTTGTGAATTAAATTTGTCGCACTTGGGCTCTGTTTTTCATCATCAGCAATCCTAGGAAATATTTTCTCGTGAGCGTAATTTACACGCTAGGGCTAAGCATATTGGTTTACTACTGTGTATACGCCGCCAACCCCCTCCTTTAACCAAGGTACGCTGTGAGAACCTCGAAATATGCATCAGATGAATGTGTTTAATTTTTGGCTAAATAGCCGGGGCATATAGCATTTTAAGATCAGGCCGGGCTGAATGAGAGCTGTTAATTATATAGTTTCTACATATAGAATCGAGTTTTGCATGAGAGTCTGCCATTCGCGGTCCTTTCTGCCATTTCCACACTGAGGAAGAACTTTTTTTACGCAAAGGAGTCAAATAAATTACTAGTACCTTTTCAAATTAACTTATTACAATCAACAAATACTAGGACAGTGGGCGTCCCAATCAGAAGCCTCACAACATTATATATGCCACTCTATTTTGAGAGATTTCGCAACCATGATAGGTCAAATTGCGCCATAATGTCTAGCGATTTGCTCCTTACAGTTCTAGGAGTTTCCTCGCCGACCTTCTCAGCAACCTAGTGATGTCATATTCTTGAGCCTGGATGCCCTGGAGACCTTTTTCTTCTATATGAGCTTAATTTATAAATAACTCGCCTATTCTGCCGTTTTTATGTTACCTTCAATTCTATTTAGAGGTCTTATGTGATACGAGTCACGACAACCCCATAGACTACTGCATTCCTGTGATTCACTTAAGTATCTGTGATCTTGCGGTGTGGTCAACCGAATTTCATTCACATACTCCCTTGATTTAATGAGACTTGGCTTATTTGCACTACGCGATGTCATACGATGGAGAATGATAACGCCCGTCACCGAGTCTAGCATGCTTAATTTACCTCAGCCTACGAATAAGAAGGCATGGGAGAGGGTCGGAGGAGTGAAAGTACATCGAGGATCCATCCAATTAGAGTATCACACCATCCTGCGGGGAACCATATTTCGATAGTGAACAACATGTGACATTCATGCCTGGTATGGTTAGAATGGTTGCCCAACTGCTCTAGAGCCCGTTGTCGAAATTCAACGAGGGCTGAGGCGTCTTTATCTTTCAAGCAGTGCTGTCACTAACTTTCCATAACTTGACGCAGTAGTGGCACGGCAGGTTTGGATGGTTCGCAGCTGGTCTAGGTCATCAAGGGGTCGTTGAGCGGTGCAGAGCGTCTTTTCGTCCAGGCGCCTTTTTATTTCCAGCACCACTCGTTTCAGCCACGGCTACTTCCACCATCCTACGAGGAACAATCGGTGAAAGACAGCCGAAAATGATGATATGAGCCGATTTACGTGGTGATTATAAACTAAGTGGTATATTAACTATGTTGAGTATCTTGTTATAAACCCAAATATCGAGCCACATGAACCAGTCTTACAACTAATTTCATATTTATGCCAATAGCAACATGTGTGCGAGAAAAGAAAGCAGATAGGCAAACATAAACAGCCGTGATGACGTGTTTCAGCGCTATGTCGCATAGCTAATTCAAAATTTGACAATACGGCAACAGGCATCAATGCCTGCAAATAGGTCTACACCCGGAGGTGGGACCAACATTGCATAAACTAAACTAACATTAGGCTCTGATTCAATGACATTCAAAAGGGACGGAGGATGCGAACACGAGGCAGCATTGTCCTCCGGCCATTTAGGAAACTATGATTGAATCGGAATTCATCTGTGGGGATCATAAAAGACTGCTTTTTGTCGCTAACACATCGTTTTAACAAAAAACAACCATAAATTTTGCCTCTACTGCATCACCAAACCATTTCGCTCAAGCTGGAACGAACATCACGCCTACATTAAAGAGGAATGTTTATATATGGAAAACTAAGAGTAAAGTATATGCAATCCACCTCCCTTTGATGCATAATCGGCAGTCCAAGTTTGGATAGGGCCATTTCTTTATGGGGAGTTAATGAATGCCTGCATCTGATCCTACAAACCAATCCTTCACAGGATTGATCGCAGTGACACCTCGCCCAGCAACGTGTCAAGCTTCCAAATGTAAAGAGGTCCCTAAACCTTAAACAGCAAGAGAAATCAGGCCCGAAACATCCGAGCAGCGTGTGACGTGCGGATTGGCATTGACAGACCCCTTGCAGACGGGATCGGCATGTTGGTCTCCACATGAACACTCCATGGCAATCAGGCAAATGAAACAAACCGGGGACATTGACACCAACTCAGTTTCATGAGCTTCTCCTGTGGCAAAGCGTTTTACCCAGGCCAACATATAAGCCCAACGCAAGATCATCTTCATCATCTGAGGGCCAAACCTTCTCATTTTGCAGCGTTGTATTCCTGGCCAATTTCAATACCAAAATGCGTTTCAACAGTTCAGTTTTCATTGCGGCTCTGGCAGCCCTGGCTTCCGCGACCCCCATGTCGGAAAATCACATTCGTGACGAAGCGAGCTGTACCTGTGGGAGCGATATGCTACAGAGGAGTTTCGAAAAGTGTGTCTACTACAACGTGGAGAGCTCCCCATCATGCCAAGCCAATGAGGCTTGTGTGTACGAGCAGACTATATCATGTGGTAAGAGCATATGCATACGCATTCCAACGAACTTGCCAGCTAATATTTCCTAGCTGAGAAAAATGGGTGTGAATGCCCTGACTTGAAGCCCCCTGCGAGCACTGGCACAACAACACCCACTCCGAGCCCTACCCCAGATCCAACCACACTCCAGATCATCACGATAACAGCATTCCCTTCTTCATCGACCCCTTAGCCAACTTAGATTCTGGCTTCCGAGAAGAAATCTGGGAATTTCCACACTTGTCTTTCGATAATGCGATTCTTGGGTGTCGTCCACTAATCGTGGACACGTCTATGCATACCCAAATGGACGGGTTCAATTAATCGACATGACATTAGTGTTGGCACATGCTCGGAAAATTTTTTGTAAAAACACAAAAAGGAAGAGATATCATTGTTCTTTACAAAAAGTCGGGCTGGAATGACCTGACCTCTGTATATCACTGCGGCGTTATTTTCGGATCAAAATATTTGGTTTCATGTCCTTAGAGAAGGAGATGTTCAACAACAAACATGAGTACTATGATAAAACGGTTATGCTGGGTAGGCTATGCTGGGTAGGCTATGCTGGGTAGGCTGCATAAACCGCCTGTCAGTTGCAGATGCTGGCATCAGCCTGGAAGAAGGCGGGGAAAGCAGCAACTCTGTTCTCAATTAAAGAGATATTGAGATAGGTTAAGAAAACAATTAAGAGATCATTACTGTCCCCTTTCTGCATACTTTGAATGTCGGTGAAGTGGGTGATATAGGATGATGTGATTCACAGTGCCTCTCCTCAACTTGTATTTACCACTTTGATCAGCCTATCAGTTGTGTATCGGAACACCCAGGATGCAAATTGTAAGTTAGGTACTTTAGCTGAGAGGTCTGAAATCGTCATTCATTCACATTGACCCAATATCCTGCTAAAAGGTAGACATAGGCAAAACCCTACGCCTGAGTGCTACGTCGCAAATTTCCATTTGTACCCAGATTTTGAATACGGTGCAAGTAGGCCAGTCTTGCGAACCCATGCTGATAAGATTACCCTTAGTGCGATTTCCATTCCCTGTAAAAAGTGCCGCCGCCTTAAAGTTACGTGGTTTACAAATAGGCGGCTAATGGGCTTGGTTTGATGATCGTACTTCGTGTAACCAATGCATCCAATCTCAACTTCTCAGCTCTCTTCTGGGCTTCAAAGGTTCTTTTGGATTCGAAGAGAGGTAAAGTTTTCTTCAAATGAAATTAGCATGTGATACATATCTCAACATGTTCCGGAAAACCATGATGTGTTGTCACTTGACTTTGGCGCGGGTTACGTGGATTGGCTAGGCCAGGCAGGTCAGTAAAAAGGCATGATACCGATTTAGCTTTAGTTCACTTTGAACCTTAAACACCACCAGCTCCATTTATGGCTTTACGGGTGGCGATCACTGGTTGTGTTGGGTCACAATTCTTTTCATCCTCTACAATTACGTCTCACGTGGCACGTTTTAGGCGTAATGGCGTGCCGATAGTTTGAAGAAGAATTGATTTTGGTCTCAGCCACAACGGTGAGCTTGATTCCAACAGGTGGGCATAGGAAGCTAATTCTCCATGGCGTTCACAATACGAAGATGGATGGTCGACACATCCCAAAGCAAATTGGCCACTTTGGATCCTATCTGTGAAAATTGCAGAAATTGGACGAAGCAAAGGAGATTCTATGACTAAAGTTACATCTTGGGGTCATTACCTTTGGAATTTAAATGGCCTGTTGCCGCATTACTTGCTGAGGTTTTCGGAATGTCTGATGTCTGAGACGCTCTTGGCAACATCAAAACTCGTCCATCTCCCCATCTTACCACAACCAAAAGGCGACAGCCATCCCGCCTTTCGTATTCTAGACCCTCTTCCCAGATCGCAATAGCCTATTGGCTTCGTGGACAGAGCTTCAAAACCAGGCGACCTTGATGCCCCGTGAAAATGGTGCCTACTTCACTGATTGCAATCTTTGGGCTGTTTGCCTTGACTGCCGCCGATATCACTGTGGTAGTCGATGAGAATGTGAAGCCCTTACCTCTCGATACCTCTACGGCCGTTAGCTTGAGTACCGAACTGCTCAACCGGAGCTGCCCGGAGGAGCTGTCCGACAAGCTTCCGTACCGACCCAAAGTGTTAATGTCAACCTTTACTGAATTTGAGGCATCGGACGAGGCGTTCGAGTCTAAAGACCAAATCTTCCCTTCCTCTGACGGCCTTGTGCGAGGCGCCATTGAGGCGTGGGCCAAACACCAGCATCTCGTCCTGCGCCCCGACGAAGTCTGGTTTGAGATCTTGACGCAGATGAATTTCTACATGACAAAGCATGCTGAAGATATCCGCCACCTATTTGTTGACCACGAAGGCAAAGAAATGATCACTGTCGAGGAAACCTCCTGGCTTCGCGTCGTCGGTGCGTTTTCTCAGGCGATCCAGGAGAGGATCAAAACGCCGTGGCTCTATGACTGGATTATGCCGGGCTTTACAACCAGTGACGAAAATGATGAGTTGACTGCCACCGTGCTTATGATGGGCCTGATGCAGCACTATTTTGAATTTTTGGGCGGCATCGTCTGTGGCCTACCGAAAGTTACACTTCTGGGAGAGCGTGAAGACTGGGTACAACTGTTGGAGAAACTTGACCATCTCAAAGAATTCGGTGAAGAGCCTGAGGAATTCGCTCAAGAACTACGACCCATCCTTAGCCGCTTTGTAGAAACTTGGGATGATCCAGAAAGTGACGAAAAGAAGCAGTTCTGGGGCCAAATCGTCCGCGCGAAGAAGCATTTCTCATGTGGCGGCGGTGGTGCAGAGTATGATGTGTCTGGATGGATTACCGGATTTCTGAAATGGCGACCAAGTGGTGATCTGCGGGTTTTCAAGATGCCAGAGCGGGCATTGGGTGAGGATAATCCTAATTCAGACGCGAATGGGGGTGGTTATAAGAATGGGGAGGTCGTTCTTGATGGTGTCACTTACGTCAAAGAGGAACTTTTCACTATCCCAATTGGATATGCCAAGGTGCCGATGAAGATGTTGGACTTTCCTGAAAGGGGGACTAATACAATGGCATATCTCTTAGCAGGAAATGTCGCTGTGAACAGAACCAAGACGTCGGATGAGGAGTTTGTTAGAGCGCAGCCGTTGAGCGCATGGTTCATGTATGCGCCAGTCGATACTGACTACAAGGCGGAATCCCCAAGTTATGGTAGTCGCAGCGAGCTTGTGGAGATTGGCGAAGCTATTACGGAACAATGCCCAGCTTGAGAGTACCACGACATCCGATATAGATTTACCTAGTCAATGAAGAGTTGAATTGCTTATGTCGGCCCAGTTAGGGTATGTGATGAAATTGAATGATTACGCACTGACACATATATACAAAATTTACACTGCAGCAAATTTGGGTCCATGTTCTCAACGTAGACAGCTCGTCAATTGGGCTGGACTCTGACTTCTTCGAGTCTGGCGGAGACTCTATTCGTGCCATGCAGCTCGTGAACGACGCACGACGGAACAACCTCAAACTCTCCGGGGCAGACATTTTCAAGGCCCCTGTGCTATCACGCATGACTGCTTGCCTATCTTCGACTACTACCGAGTATCAACCCAGGGAAATCCCCCTTCCCTTTTCCTTGGTGCCGGGTAAGATTTTTGGAGAACTTCAATCCGGAAATGCAATCACGGAGTCGAATGTCGAAGACATTATTCCCACCACCAGCTTCCAAGAACATAACCTACAGATGTCTATCAAGTCGCCTCAAACGGCGCTCAATTACTTCTCTTTACGTCTTGGAAGATCTATTGACACGTCAGTAAATGGACATTGGCTTGTCGTCAGGTGCTTGATACTCATTCTATGCTTCGCTCCATCTTCATGCTGCTCGACGGAGTTCATTGGTAAGTGGTATTACGCGAACTTGAGCCTTCAGTGAGCATTGTCAACATTCAAGGAGACATCAAGAGGAGTATACAAGAGTTATTTGAAGAGGACACCCGACAACCATTGATCCCCGGGGCTCCTTTCGCAAAGTTTACCCTCTTCAGGCACGTCACAGGAGATGACATGATTATCCGTTTGTCACACGCACAATATGACGGCGTTTCTCTCCCTCTCATCCTCCAGACTTTCTTCAACGCATACCAGAACAAGCCCTTGGTCCCTGAAATACCATTTTCCCTATTCATATCCCACGCAAGAAATTCCAGGCAGACCGCCTTAAGCTACTGGCGTCAACTTTTTAAAGGAGCTCAAGTCAGCTCCATAAGATCTAAGTTACGTCCAGCACAGTTGAAATCGTCAGCTCTAGTCCCGGTGGAAGTGGAATGGTCCTTAGCTACTCCAAGCCTCCCTTCGGGGGTTTCTCTCGCCTCGCTGGTTTCTTCTGCGTGGGCCCGCGTGCTCTCCGGAATCGTGGGTCGCAATGATGTGGTGTTTGGGCAAGTGGTTTCTGGGCGTAATTCACCGCTCCCAGGCCTTCAAGAGGTTGTTGGTCCATGTGTCAATATCGTCCCCGTAAGAGTTCGTCTCGACACCTACAACTCACCTCATGAGCTTCTCACCGCGGTTCAAGATCAATACGTGGCCCGTGGAGCGTCAGATACAATGGGCGTGGACGAGATTATTAAGGAGTGCACCGACTGGAAACCCGATACTGAATTGGACTCTGTAGTGGAGCATTTCGGGTCTGTCAATTTGTCCAAGGTGCAGACTGGGGACGAAGAGGCTCAAGTCGAATATCTCAAGCATCCAGAATCCGCAACACGACATCTTGGAATCTTCTCCACTATGGAAGGAGACACTCTAATGCTGAAGATCACTGGGGACAGTCACTTGTTGGATTCAGATACGGCACACAAGTTACTCATGCTGTTGCAAGAGAATGTTCTGGCTCTTGCGAGTTCTTAGTGGCCATCGAAATATAACATCCACCCGTGTGGTGGCTAAGATTTTCCATTTAGGAGGGAGGTACAGAGGGATAAAGGCAAGGGTAAATATCTCCATTTCCAAATAGTAGCCCTCTTATATAATTTAAATAGAATCAGAGGTACCAGAGAAATTTAGATATCATGCAATATTGTTTCCCACATCCGACTTCCTGTCTAACTTCATCTCAATTAACGCTAGTTGATTACGCTAAATAGAGTCCGCTTTAATTCCTCACCCTTAGACACAGTTCATTCAATCTATACCTCGTCAACATCAAGTGGAACGCCATATACCCCTGGATAAACTCCTCGACCTTTTCCGCCAGCACCATCTCCGTGCTAGCATACTTCCTAACCCTATCTGGATATACTAAAGCCGACCTCTGGTAATGCGATAAACTCTCGGCGACGGACTGACCGTTCGCTGCGGCGTGCAGATGAATGGCGTTGCCTCTCTCGTTACCAATCATAGATTCCTTATAATATGACATTATATCATTGGCTTCATTAATGAATCCCACGAGATCCGGAATCAAGGGTAGATGACACAAGGATTGCTTCCGTGCAGCAACTTCTCGGGGAAAATGTAGAATGCATAAGGCTCCGCAATACCGCCCTTCAAGCGGAAGTAGTTTGCGAAATCTGGTGCACTCTTGTTTGTCCTCAACAAAACCCCCTTCTCAAATTCCACTAGGGTGGCGCTGCAAAAGTCGACAGCGCCCTTGAACACCATATCTGTCGCAAATACATCATAAAACCGACCCATCTCTAGTACTTGATCAAAGAGAGACTGCAACACTTTGACGCCAAGTGGTTGGCGTGCCAAAAGCCTAGTGCGGTATTGTCCTAAGCCTTCGATTATGGAGCCGCCGAGATCGTCGACCGCGGTTGCAAGGGCCGTGAAAGTAGCGATAGCTACTTGAATTTCTCGGTCATGTGAGGGATAAAACCATCGCGCTGCTGCTGCACCGAGCCGTCCAATTACTTCCATCTGATCCGCGGGAAGATCCTGAGCGAGACATATGTCAATTATCTCTCGGTCGAACGAGGGATCCTCCTTGTAAGGCGGCAGCTTGAAGCGTGCTTCTTGGAGGAATGCCTCGAGGATGTTCTTATGATGCCGCAGTCACCAAATGATTACTCCATACGGCTTCCACATAGCTGAATATGATCTACACCGGGCATCATAGTTCCTAGAGTGCCATCAGCTGCTCGTGAACGGCATATTGATGTCGCTGCGAGGTCGAACGCAATGCATACCACCACAGCCCATGAATACCTGAGCTACAAGTCAGTTGTACCGCGGTGATTATCCCATCGCTCTATCCCATCTACTCAGCATCCCATACAATTTGGTAGGCAAGAGAATTTAGTCACGGCTTTAAGGATTTAACTTGCGTCAATGCTCGGAACAATTCATTTTCATGCCCGTATCTCCACATGAATTCACACCCTGCACACCCATCTATTTTTGTGGCTGAGAAGTAATCCAATCAAGAATTTGCCACGCGCACCACACGAGACACACGAAAAGTCATGCAGAAAAATGACCGGCCGCTGGTCTATTCAAGATGGCAAACAATTTCGCCGAGATGCTCATACAAAGGTCCTGTGTTCCATCCATCTACCAGGTGAGACTTACTAATACGACAGATATTGATATCCGAAGAGGAGGCCACCGCTCGTCTCTCTTCAGCCTTGGAAGGGGAATACTACCGTCGACGGCTCAAGCCGTTTCAATAGGACTAGCATCGTCTATCGAGAACTCGGGTGCGAGGAGATTATAGACTAATCTAGATCTGAACCCCATGTGTATACTGTATGTAGCGTCATGGATCCGATTGTCTCCTGAAATAATAGTGTACGAACACCAAAAATCACAGTCCACTGCTGAGATCAATGACGTGTACATAGGTAGATCCACTTGCAAAGTTCTAAGCATTTATGCCCGTACACACTCAACTTACTTCGATCAAGCCAGATGACCTATATCTGCATATGCGGCACACCTGTTTCGATATCTGCCGCCGTCCTTGTGTACTTGGGTGGCTCAGGAGAATGCTTACTCAACCAATCAAATATAAGCCGTGATTGGGATATTTCCCGTAATTGGCTCGGATGAAGGCCGCTATCTCTGCGATCTACAACTACCCGTGTCCTACGATAGCAGCAGACAAGTTTCTTGCATCGATGATCTGTAGGTCGAGCCTTGGTTGGGTCAAACGAAGAAGATCACTGGTGACAATCACACTTTGGATTCAGATACGACACACAAAATACTCATGATGTTGTTGCGGGGGAATGTTCTAGCTCGATCTGGGTGGGGAGCCTGAGCGAAAAGAGAGTTGTTGTTATCCATTAAAATATACTATCTACCTCTGTGTTGTCTAAGATTCAATCTTGAGGAGGAAATGCAATAAAAGGTGGTGATAGAGTCAAAAGGCCTTCAAGTGTATTTATTAGTTAATACCGGGCTTTTTTGTATAGTCTAGATTGACTCAGATGTATTAGAGGAATCTATTATATATTTAACGCATTTTATTAATTATGCCTAGGAAGAACTGAAACTTAGGCAGCAAATAAATTTCTACGTTTAAGCCGCTGACGGAGGTGAAGTCGTGGTTATCCCAGGGTGCTGGTTCAGGGTAGGCTGGACCACCGGGGGTTAAATTCAAGACATCTCGTAGTCAAGCCAATGAATGGAAACCTGTTGTTAACACGGTTGTCGATGATTACATCGCCCCCGGCTATCGCTCAGACAAGACTAAGATCTTTAGCCCCCATTAGCATCAATGCGTCTAGATAATTGAAACAAAAACTTGCGTATTGGGATTGCTAGGCTGGCGCTGAAGCTTTGGCTAGGCTTGTTCTGTTCCCTTTCTCCGCGTTGAGCAGCACTAATAATTCACTCTAATTCGTGCATTATTAGTTCCAATATTCAGTCCCGAATTGTAAGCTCGTAAGCACGCGGCATTGTAATCCAGCTTGGATATGATCTACAGCATTGTTTACCCCAACTGACTTGCGACTGCTATTTGGGGGAATCAAAATGAATCTCAGGTTACATGGCGCGATGGAGAGATGATCAGAAGCCTTAAACCGGCTACTTTATGCAGAAGGATCGTTTAGTTATGCAGTGACTGAAACAACAAGGGTCGCCACATAATTCCGAGTCCAGCCACGACCCCTGTCGCCTTCGGATTCATCTCTCGCACGTCATAGGTATGGCCGAGGGAGTGCCCAGATCAGCCGCATGCCCCGAACTGGCGGTCCCGGTTGCAGGGCGGTACCGGGTGGTACTCTCCGGGAGCTTATTCAGTCAACTGGCAAGATGAAGCTCGAATTTGAGGCGAGATTTATCAAAGAATGGTATGTTAAGGGAGGATATGTATGTACGGATGATTCATCTAAAATCTAAGAGGACAGAATCTTATGGATAAAGGCCTTCCTTGCGGCCGAAGACTTCTTCGAGACCGCAGCGTCAGGCACCACAAAGTCAGAGGAATGGAAGGCCCCAGGCCAAACATGAAGCTCTACATCCCCGGCACTCTCCCAAATCTTCTCGGCAAATCTGACGACAGGCTTCCTGAACAGCTCTGCGGTGCCAACATCCAGAAACGTAGGGGGCAAGCCCGACAGGTCAGTCGCCCGGGCCGGCACATAGTAAGGGTTCACCCTGTTGGCCGCATCGTCGCCGAGATACGCCTTCCACCCGATGGCGTTCGACTCGGCGGACCAGATCTTGGCCGCGTCGCCGCTGAAAACCTTCTGCTCAGCTTCATCGATCTTGTCCTCGAGCATGGGGGTGTTGAGGAGCAGGCCCTTGGGCTTGACCTGGGACTTGCGGTCGCGAGTCAAAAGCGTGATGGCGGCGGCAAGGCCACCTCCTGCGCTAGAGCCCCAGACGACGATGTTTGCGGGGTCGACCCCTAGCTTGGGAGTGTTCTCATGAACCCAGATCAGACCCTGGAAGGAATCATTCAGGGCTGCCGGCGCTGGATGTTCTGGAACGAGACGGTACTCGATGCTCACCACTGTGGCGTTGATCTCCTCGGCGACACCCAGGACCTCGCCCACGCCGCAGTAGCGGTTGCTCAGGATTAGCCCCCCGGCGTGAATGAAGTAGATGCACGGACGGCTGCCAGCCTTGTCTGTCGCTGACTTGGGAGTGAAGACAGCCAGTGGCACCTTGTGGCCGTCGCTGTCCTCGGCATACTCGACCTGGTGGGTGAAGGGGTGATCGCCAAGGGCAGACTCGGCCGTATATGCCGCATCGAGTTGAGGTCTGATGGCTGGAAGTAGTTCCAACGCCAGTATGGCCGGGAGGGGGTATGCATCGTGGAAAGGCGCCAGCTCCGGGTCAAAGTTGGGTCTGGTGGTAGCCATGGCTGCGAATGGATGAGCCGTGTACGTATATTCAATAGTGCAATCGAACTAGGCAAGAAGGGAAGGGAGTATCCCAATGAAATTGGCATTGACTGAGATCAAGACCGTGCTTGTGTCTTTTTATGCAGCAGGCCACCAATGTCCGGAAGAACAGACCCTCGTCAAAGAGAGGGGACTCAAAGGATCCAACATCGGCCCCCACTACGCCTCAGCTAATGCATTGTGCACGGGCATGGCGACAGCTAAATGAAGCAGCGCGTAGGAGCCGTCGATTGATTAGACTACACTCTGTAAGCCGGCTCTGCATCCCTAAACTCGGGGATGAGGGGAGAACCCACCTCACATTGGATCCGCCCCTTTTGCAGCTCGTTCGTGCTGCGGTTCGAGGCAAATGTAGCCAGTAGACCGGGTTCCGTAGATAAGACTTTCATTAAGGACAGTCTTCCGAGGGAGAAAAAATTGTGATCTGGAAGGAAGCGCATCCTGGGATGCAACGTTAAAGGTGCCGACTGGGATCTGCAGCCCCTTCCGCGTATGATCTACCTTGAACTCCCGAAAAGAGATTGGCCTGACAGTTGCGTCAGGATGTAATACTCTCTTCTTTCCTACTCAGTCTGCGGCCCTACTTGAATGTGCCTAATCCGCCAGTCTTTTTTTCTGGGGCCTTTTCGCTGTCACCAACATCTTTGTCAAGCTCGCCGGATGAATACCACTGCCCGGAAAACAACTTCCTGTCCATGAACGCGCCATGGCTCTCGTCAATGGTGTTATGGTAGCTCTGGAGCCACCACAGGGCTACCATGTTGACCTGGATAACCCGCAGCGCCGTGGTGTGCCCGAAATCTACGTTGTGACCGCCGTTTTCGCCTTTCTTAACGTACTGTTTATGGCTCAGCGGATGTACACCAAGTTTTTCATCGCCAAGAAGTGCAATAGCGACGATTGTATGTTGCAAACCGGACATGTTCTTTCAAGGCCGCATTAAGGACATTATATGCAACATGATTGGACTGACGCTTCCCAGACTTGATTTTCATGGCTTTCGTACTTTCGTTCGTCACTATGGGGCTTACCTTGCCGACATACGTCAAGAAGCAGGCAGGCTTACACGGATGGGAACTACCCATCGAGAATTTGGGAGAGTATGTTAAGGTAAGCTCCTTATCCCGTCTCGACAGAGTGAGAGAAGGAACTGGCCATCCGCTGGATGGAGGCTGATGTTGACTTGTCCGTGGCCTAGATTGCGTATATCCAAGGCCCTGTCTACGCAGCGTGCGGGTGTTTGGCGAAGTTGTCCCTCCTTACCTTCTACCTTCGTCTCAGCCCACAGCAATGGTTCATCATATCTACGTGGACGACCATAGCGTTTCAAATAGTGTACACAATCGTGCTCGAGGGTACACTCATTTTCGGATGCCGACCAATCGCGAGAGGTTGGGATATCACCATCACCGAGGGCCAGTGTCTAAGTACCGCTGCCATTTATATTGCCACGGCGGTTCTCAACATCATTTCCGACGTCATTATCCTCGTTTTGCCCATTAAGATGGTTGTCGGCCTGCAGATGAAGACTGCCCGTAAGATTGGCCTTCTCGCTGTCTTCACTATTGGCTCAGCGTAAGTGACATGCGATCAGAATGGCTTTTTGGGAACTAATTTCTCTTATGTTAATAGAACCGTGGTCACTGGAATTGTACGCGCTGCTCTACTCCCAGCTATGCTCAACTCTCCCGATGTTACATGGGAAGTGGCCAAGGTGTCCACCTGGTTCATGGTTGAGGCGAATCTCTTGGTCATCTGCGGTTCCATGATGACACTGCGCAAGTGCTTTAAGCATATTGCTCCTCGGCTGATTGGTGAATCCAGCTACGCATCGAGAAAGACGGGTCACAGTGAGTCAGCGCAGCCGGGCTCGCTCATGACATTCGGTGCTGGCGGTGGAGACAAGAGAAAACGCCCGACTGCGAACGGTTACAATGAGTTTGATCACGACGGCAGTGGATCAGAGGAGTTTATCATGGCACCATTGCCTATGAAAGGCCCTTCTGGCGACCAAGAAAGGCGAATATGAAGCCCATTAGCGATATTTGCGTATCGGTGGGACTGGAAAGGCAAATATCAAAATTTAGAATTCAGAGGTTGCTCGGCAGGACATACTTAACGTGCAGGACCACCTATACGCTGTATATACATACTATCTTAGCAGCATACAGTAATAGCCTAATGATGAATCACGGAAATTGCTCAATTTCAAATCTCTTTGAGGCATACCTAATGACTTGAGGATATTTTGGATATGCCTCATACAAATCTCTTATCAAGCCGCAAGAATCTGCATCGAAAGAATTGGTATAAGGGATCCGCCTATCTATTGTTAATTCTAATCGCAAAGCCTAATTCAATTCCTCGGTGCTTAATTTTGCTTACAATAGACACCTCAGGCTATCAATCTGCGAAGATCTGACTATGTATGTCAAATCATCACGACTTCCCCTTTGTATCATCGACCTCGAGCATAATAGCGAGCCGAACAAGGAGGTTCAGGCTGATTCTACCAAGAGTCGAGGCTCAAGCCTTCCAGGAACATCAAACATTTCTAATAAAAGGTTTTTATCTGTAATCACTGATTTTAAAACCCTAGTGTATATGAGGTGAGAGAATCTACGTACTAGCGTTTTGTGTTGGCTGTTTAGTAGCCTATCCGAAAACACTGATCTCTCGACACAATGGATTTATTAGCTTAATGATTCGAAAAAAGGTAAAGAAAATAGCGCCTGTCAACATTTACGTGGTAGATTTAATAGTTCCTCTTTGATTTTGCAGAACAAACCCAGATATCCATTCCCATACTTTCAAGACTTAAACCTTCGGCTCGTCTTTGTTGTCGAGGCAACTTCTCATATAGCGGCAGGCTGAATCATTGTTCTTTTCTTGCTACACAATGAGCTAAAACATTTACGCTTGTTACGTGTCATTGCCCGCTCAATAATCCACGATCCATCACCCTTTATATAATCACTCAGCACGCCCGCTACTCAAAACAAAACCACACTCCCTTTTCCCACCAAGCATCAGCAAGCCCTTCCAGCCTTTCCCCAGCAAGAGAACTACGAAATGCCTGTTACTGTTTTCCCCACGAACAACAGCCCCACCCTATGGGAACACAGTTCTTCCGTCAAGACTGCCGAAGAATTGTTGAAGAAATCATGTCCCGAGGAAGCGGAGCAATGCACGAAGGTATTAGAGTCGTCATTAAACGACATCGAGACTGGATATAGTTCTCCCGACAAGACTATCGAAGAATTGCTGAATATATTATGTCCTGAGGAAGCGGCGCAACGCACGAGAGGACGAGAATCGTTATTCAATGACCTCGAGACTGGATATATTGGCCCTTCTTGTAATGGATTTGTCCATGCAGTCTGCGAAGCGTACAGTGGACATCACCACCTGAATATCCGGCCTGACGACGTCTGGTTATCAATCCTGGTTCAGCTCAGCTTCTACTTCGATAGAAATGGCGACAAGTTTCGGTACATGCTTGAAGTGCATGAAGGATGGCGAGATGTCGGGGCCACGGATTATGCCACCATGGAAGAAGCTGAGTTGGGAGGGCCAACTCCAACAAAAACGAAGGAATCTGAAACCGATGCCGATGACGCAGATCTACAAAATTGGGAAAATTGGGACAACGACGTAGATCTAAGAAAATGGATCAGGCTAACCTTTACTACCACTTGGGCTGCCGACCATGCAATAGCTCTAGCAATAGCGAGAGAGTTTGGAGAATTTGACTCAGATCGAAGAAATTCGATCATGCCTGACAAATTAGAAGTACGCCACCCTAGGATGGATACTCGGCAGCCGTACTTCAACTACGGCGTCTCATATGGTTACGGCCTTCCTTCTGTTACTCTTCTGGGCGAAAGAGAGGACTGGGATAGACTTCGCGGTCGCCTATGGGAGATCGCAACCTCGCGCCGAGAGGAAGTCGAAAGGTTTGCGGACCAGCTCGAGACTGTTTTGGACAATTTCGTCAATTCTTTCGATAATCCAACTGGTTCCGATGTTATTAGGTTTTGGAACGATATCGTCTACGACAAAGATGAGAGCCCTGGAACCCGCTACTTATCCGGCTGGTTGTCAAAGTTCTGTTTTTGGTCTGAGGAGGGGGAGGAGATTCGGGATTATTCCACAAGTGGACACCGGATGATCGATACAAAGAGAATCCCCAGAGGCTTTGCTTCTGTAGTCGAACAGAAGAACAACAAAGGGGAGACGCAAAGCGTCAGAATGCTAGCTGGATCTATTGGACACCACATCACCAGAAGCGGAGATCTCTTAGATCAGTCTGGTTCATACAGGGTTGGGCCCCAACCTCAGACTGGGTTAGATTCCGTACAGCCCGTGACTGGCTGGTGGAAGTGTGAACGTAGGGAGCTAAGCCCTGCTATCGAGGAGTAGATTAGTAGCTGTCAAATCCTCATTTAAGACAGAGATGGAGTAGTTTAAAATTGGTTCAGTGCTGACATAGAAATTTGCATTGCACTCAATTGGATGTATATTTTACTTATGATATGATTGTTGACCTAATGTCCTGCAGTTTGACAAGCACCTTTTTGATGGGTTTTGGTTCCTCCTCAGTGACTTGAGCTTGAGGTACCCTAACTATGTTCAGGAGCTAGAAATTAACAGAATAACGCCTTTAATAAGCGTAATGAGAGGGGTAATAGGCCACTAGTATTGCATGAGCATGTCTCTTGTTATGCTCGAATATGTCCAAATCCTCAACTATAACAGAGCCTTTGTGGGTTTCAATCAGTTGGCATATTCGCACGAGGTCGAAATGATCATTTCTACAAAATAGCTTTAAGCCCCAAGGACCTCCCAGACAAGCATAATCTGAATGATGATGGCACAATGATTATTCCATAGTGATGAACACATCGTTGTGGTGTCAAGTCACGGCTTGATACATACAGTTCTTGGTGCTGCATGTACCAGGCCAACCTCGAGCGAGTCGGAGTGGAACCGATCATCTGGGGGGTAGCGACCTCTTCGCATTTCGTTAGTATGGATAGGAAACTCACCTTACCCAGCCTCCCTCCGATGGAAGCTGAGTCAGTGCGGAGATCAAGCTTGATCTGTCACCGTTAATTTCCTCATTCAGACTCAGCTTACTCGTAGCGAACCAATAAGGATACCCTGAGCTCAACCATGGTAGATTCAAAGCCCGCAGCATGCGCTTTTGCGATGAGGACTGCAGCTTGATTATAAATGATAAATCCGCTGAAAGTGTAGATTTAGATAGCTTCGAGACCAGTTCGCATGTATAAAAGGCATCAGGTGCCCTAAAGTGATACTAGATGACGCAGGGCACCTTGATCACTGGTTCTTGTCTACTGAATAACACTACCTAACCACTGTATTATATCTCGTTCCACCGAATTTCATTCAGCTCATCTCACAAACACTCGATATGGCGCCCAATTTCGATACCACCCCAGAGCAACAGGCTGGCCAGCTTCACTTTTTCAAAAGCCAGGTTTTCGAGACCAAGAGCCCAGTTCTTACGCGGAAAGATGCTGATCTCAGTGGTCAAACCGCAATCATAACCGGTGGTAATGTCGGTGTTGGATTTGAGGTAGGCCGTCAGCTTTTGGATGTAGGCCTAAGCAAACTCATCCTTGCAGTCCGCAACGAAGAGAGTGGTCGGACTGCAGCCAAGGCCTTATTGACGGCACGAGGCGAAAATCAGGAAGTTGAAGTGTGGAACCTTGATCTTTCCAACAACGATTCCATCATGGCATTCGCAGAACGCGTAAAATCGCTTGAGGCTCGCCCTGACGTGATTCTCCTCAACGCCGGTGTTCTCTGTGCCAAACCGACTTTCAATAAGTCCACTGGCTACGATGAAGACGTACAAACTAATTTCCTGTCCACTGTACTCCTTCTTACTCTCCTCCTACCGGTTGTTAAGGATAAACCCTCAGCAGCGAAAGCCACTCCGCCCCCGGTCCCACGGATATCCATCGTGTCTTCAATCATGGCTCACTGGGCAAAGTTCGCCGAGCGCGACTCTGACCCATTGCTCGCCGCATTTGCCGAAAAAAGTGACAGTAACTGGGATATGGAGGAGCGATACAGCACTAGTAAGCTTCTGGCGTTACTTTTTCTCGGAGAACTATCCCGACGGATCTCACCTGAGACGGCAATCATCAACGCCCCGACTCCAGGTGTTTGTCACGGCTCACTCTTCCTGCGCCAAACCTCGGGAGTGGTTGGGTTCATTATTGGAATGTTCTACCGCCTAGTTGGTCATTCTTGTACGGTGGGCGCCAGTCAGGTCCTGGCTGCCGCAGTGAGGGCTGGCCCTGAGTCGCACGGCCAGTTCGTGGAGAATGGCAAGCTGAGGCCGTGAGTTAAAGTCCGACGCACTTAGTGTTTGAGTAACACACTAATCGTCAATATTCCTCCTAGCCTTCCCGCCCTTATATATACCTCAGAGGGAGAACATTTGGCCAAGAGAGTGTGGAAGGAGACGATGGATGAATTGTCCTTCGCTGGTGTAGAGAAGATCATTGATAACCTGAGTCCTCCCCCAACTGCATAGCCATAGATGCAGATAAGATGCTATATAATTCCACCACCGGAGGTGTCGTTAGGAAGGTATATGTGAGGTGCACTGAGCCACGGTTCCTAGGTTTAAAGAGTCAATATCACATATTATCTTAGGTAATACATCTAAGCATCACGGGATTTGAACTATATTGCCTTCTTGATGTCGAGGTTACGACCCCTGAATCTGCTTGTTTCATTTAGACCTCAACGACCAACCTCTCCTCCCCTCGCAACTCCCTCCACCGATTTGTTGTCTCCATCTCAACTGAACAACCTTTGAGCAAGAAGTCCCATTTCTTCACAAAACCCTCGCTAACCTCCCACCCAGATGAACGCCATGGATCTTCCCAAACCAAGAAGCCTCTTCTTTCGGCATCATCAAGGCCTTCGTACAGCCCTAATCCCAAGTCGTGCAAGAGATCACGGCTGTCGTATCGGTCTTCCATGAGAATCAGATTATCCCTCATGGCGGGGAACGGAATGACACTGATCCAGTAGGGATGATCTACTGATTTTTGTACCGATGTCCATTGAAGGTTTGGCGGAATCTGTCCGAGATTGTTACTGATATTCTGGCCGGGAACGCCAAATGTTTCGGCGCATTCACTCGGAATCTGATCCAACATGGATAGTGCCGCCAGGTTCCATATCATGGCTCGGAGGACATTGTACTGGACAATGGTGATGAGACGATGATCTGGAGAGAGGGGAAAGACAACCTGATGAGCTGGAAATGATATCGAATAGGGGATGAGCGGTGGGATTAGTTGGCCCTTGTTTGGCTTTGCATGAGCATTTTCCGCTTTATGTGTTGATTCAATGCTCCCGCGATTATTAGTGGCAACTAAGATACCATAGCCTTTCCATCCAGCGCTGGTATTGGGGGATGGTGTACACGCAGCCTTCTTTCTGTCGCCTATCTCCCCGGGTTAGTTGCTAGATTGGGATATTTTGTTTACATCAGCAGGGGAAATTGTCTAACGCCATGCTCTCTGCCGTAGGCGACTCAGCCGCTTCCGTCTATCAACAGGGTCTTCGACTCTTTGCCTCGTCTCATCGTGTTTTAGCAAGACGTCTAGCCGGCGGAGGTTAGCCAAAACTCCGCAAATATCGTGTGGCATAGCGTGAGGACCTACCGGGCTTCGGAGCAATCAGTCTCGCCATGCCTTGCTTAGAAATCGCCAGGTATCGTTAATGGGTAACTCAACGTGGGCAGGGGGCACGATAGCGACGAATTGGCCTGTAGAATTTCCTGTTCTTGGTTGTTGTGTGAAGAAGGGAGGCTGACAAGTCTCCGCCTGGATGTGCCGCGTCCGAGTGGACCGAATCACGTCTCAATTTGGGCGAACCTGCGCCAGGATATAGCCAATCTGGTTTCAGCATTGGCTGGTGGGTGCGTTACGCGCTAATACTGATCGGATAGCCTCGATGAGCCGGGGTAGGGATTAGACCTCGAGCTGTAAGTAAGCAACCAGAGAGGCAGTGTTTCTTCCCATTAGATCGTTCCATCTGAAGCACTTATAAGTGTCCATGCTTCCCTCAATGTTCCAATACACAATACGAACTAATTTTATCATCTCATAACCCGAGTTTTAACTTCACGTGAGATACCTCTCAACCGAGATCAGCACCGTCACGATTCACTAAGACCCTTGTCAGCGCTATCTCACAAATATCATCCTCCCTGAAAGTTCGACAGGATGGCCACACTTCTCAAAAGAATCTTTACAGCTTTCGATCCGCCATCTGCGGAGAAGAAGAGCGATGCTATCAAGATAGGAATCCTGGGAGCTGCCAGGACAGCGTAAGTCCTGATTCCAACTGAATAAGAGAATTAGTTTATGGATGGAATTCTGACGCAAAAACAGCCCTATGTCGCTTATTGTGCCCGCAAAATCTCACCCCGAAGTTATTGTACAAGCCATTTCTGCTAGAGACCGCACTCGTGCCGAAGAGTTCGCAAAGAAACATGGGATACCTCAAGTGATGGACTCTTATCAGGAGATCCTTGACGATCCAAATATTGATGCCATCTTCATCCCGCTTCCCAACACTCTGCACATGGAGTGGGCCATGCGATCCATTCGCGCGGGTAAACATGTACTACTCGAGAAGCCATCAGTCAATAACGAGGCCGAAGCTGTCAGGCTCTTCAACATGCCGGAACTCTCGCAGCCCAATGCTCCTATCGTTCTCGAGGCATTTCATAACCGCTTCCATCCATCTGTTCACCTTCTGCGTAGCTTCATCACACCAGCGGATGTGGTGCACGTTTATGCGGATGGAATGGTGCCCTGGGCTTACACGAGCAAAGGGGACATTGGGTTCAACTACCGTATGGGTGGCGGCAGCATGATGCATATGGGCACTTATTCGTTTGCCATGATCCGTGCCATATACGATGCTGAACCCGAAGAATGCCTAAGCGTTGATTACGACATCTTTGGCGATGGCGAACATGACAAGTGTGACTATGCTGCCAAGGCCACGTTCCGTTTTCCGAACGGAGGTATCGCCGAGTCATATGGAACGTTGAGGGGGCCTCTACTTTGGAAGCCATCGGAGGTCCGAGTCACGCACAAAGACGTCGCAGTCGACGATCCTTCGCTTCCAAAAACCCAAGAAAAGGTGCGCACGCGCCATGTGACGATGCACGGCTTCATGCATGCTGTTGTTTGGCATCGCATCGATGTGAAAGATTCTTATGCAATTCGCAACAAGGCGGATGGCAGTCCGATCAGGAAGTGGACGGAGTCAAAGTCTTACAAGGCGTATACCTTCAAAGAGGCTGGAGGTGAGTTTGCCAATCTTCCGGGCGAAGATTGGTGGATGTCATACCGCCACCAGCTTGAGCAGTTTGTGAACCGAATCAAAGGCCGAGGGACACAGTATTGGATCTCTCCCGATGATTCTGTCAAGCAAATGAGGATGGTCGATTTGGCATATGAAAAGAGTGGATTAGGACTTCGACCAACTTCTTCTTTTCAGTAATTTCATAACGCCCAGTGGCGTGCTTGTGAGAATTACTGAATTATCTGAAAGCCGATAGATACGAATGTTGATCTGGAACAGATGTTGTCAATTGCAAAGTCATGATAGATCTCTTTCTCTATCCTATCGACCCATGCCAAGTGAAAAAATTGTTTCGAACAGACATTAAAGCTCTTACCGTCATGGCACAGGGTATATATGCGCAGCTAAAAATGATGACACAAATGTATTCAGTTTCGTTCTGTGGTAATTTGGCCTTGCCCATATCAGTTTCATTCCTCTCATTGTCATGAAATAAGTATTGATCACTCAAATCAAGTATGCCCGAGCTTGACTGTGACGCGCTAAAGCTGAAACTGAGATTCTCAAAACTGTCAAAATCGGCTAGTTCAAGGTATGGTGGTTGGTTGGGGTGCTGGAGCTCATTCTTGAAACTGTTCATATCGTCTACATCCTCGTCGGTTCGGGGAAGAGGATAGCGGTTGGTGTCTATACCTGGAATGCCTTCATACGGATTTTCTTCATGCCCAGTTACAATTCTCGAAGGTTGCGAACGCCTCTTGGCCCTATTTAGCTCCGATCAGTCGCGTTGCCAGCAGGCAACCAGGCCTATTCAGATCCGCATCTTGATCTCACCTTCATCCATTCGTCGTCGCTCATGGTATTCGTGCATATAAGCCTTTCACTGAGGCCAAAACTTGGCTTCCAATGAGTCCCTTCTGTCTCTGTCGGTTGGAACAACATGGACTCCTCGCCCAAGGTTGGTAGGTTCATGATGTCCCCCATGTTTTTTTGGTGTTCAAGTTGATGCACGTGGACAACGAATAGGACTTTTTCTTTTCTTTTCGTACGGAAGGTTTGGTGCCTTCGAGGCTCAAGCATTCAACCAGATGCAGCCAAATCATACACATACGTTTGTTGAAACTATCAAACGACGTAGATATCAAGAACTATATACAAATGAACCATTTGTGGATGCAGTGCAGCCATTTTAAATAGTTTAGATGAAATCAACACCGAGCTTTTGCGCATTTGCGCACGGAAAACACGAGAGCAATGCGATGGTGCGCGAACTGTTGGTGGTTGTTGGACCATACTACCCCTCCATCTGTGTCTCAGTCTGCAGGATAAAACCAGCCTATGGCAAGTCCCATCCGTCTCTCCATTTTCATTATTTACTCCATTCCACTCCCGGTCTATTCTCACGTGTGTCAAGTACTATAACGTCGGCCAATGAGACGGTAAATAGGGGTAATCGAGGTGGCCGCCGGAACTGGAATAAGCCGAGTTGTGAAATTTCACTTTTTAGAAGTGTCATCTCGTAACTATTATTCGGACAGTCGCTTAGGTAGAATTACGGCGATTCCATGCACTATTTGAGAAGCCTTAGCAGATGATAGACCATAGTGGCTTATTCTTAGCTATTGCCCTCCTCGCGGCCTGTTAGGCAGATAGTGAGTTATGTTCAAATGAAGCCACTAGACGTGTAATCTAAGAAAGCTTCAGATTCGCCAGAATCCCATAATAAGCCCATAGGATGGGAAAATTCTTGATTAATATGGAAGTCATATGCTAGGACAGCACATCGAAAGGTCGAGAGCATTTCCCGTCACATTTAGTCTGCAGTAGTCTTTGTGCCTATTTGCACTGGCACCACCAACAATCTCGTATTGTTAAACTAGACAACGAAGAACATGATTCTTCTGGAAGATAGGTACTTCATTTTAATCGAACAGTCTGCAAATGAAAAGAGGATATATTCTGGCTCTCCCGTTAATTCCAATGTGATAGACAGTGAAGCAAGCGAAACAGATCAGTGCCGGCCTCTGCTGACATCCTGCCCCGGTCTAATGGATGTCCTATAACCGCGTAGGAGTATTTCCAACCTTCGCCTGGCCCAACCGCCTTGTCACAGCCCGCCGCACAACTCGAAAATTGATAAATGGGTGCCCCATACTCTTGAACGACTGTACAAGGCACTTTTCTGGTACGCTCTTTACCCCATCGTGGTCGTCCTTCAGATGATGCCGAAAAGTGTTCCATTTCCTCACTGGCCGGCCGCACAGCGTGCAGCGGAAACCATGGACCGGCGGACTGAGCCATGGTATCTCCTCAAGTATTATGTTGCTCTGCTGTACTGTCTCGTATAGTTTGCCCCGCCTCACAAACCAATTTGTGTCATCTTCTGTGTTTAAGAGAGCTCTGTATTCTACAGCGAGACTCTCGACGTGCCTTCCAGCACTCAGGTTGTAGCAGGGCCCTTGGAGGTGCAAAGAAATGGCTTTTTCGCTAGTGGCGATGGCTTCTTTGCATTTCATGCAATACAAAAGGTCGAGTGGCTTGAAAATAGCGAAGAATTCCTCTTTGTAGTTTCTCAGCTGAGTGACAACAGGGGGTTCGTCAACGCAAATCGGGTAGTGCATTGCCTTGCGGGTGGTGATGGTGAGCGCAGAGTGTTGCTCCTCCATCGGGTGCCCTGGCTGGTGTCAGAAATTGATATCAAGCGGAGGAGAGATTATTAGCAAACCAGGCATTGGGAACGGCATTTGAAGATCCAAAGCCACAACGCGAGGCTCATAGGGTGGACCCTATTCGTGGATTTCAGGTTATGATTATCATGCGATGAGAAGAACAAAGTGGGTGTAGCAACAGTGTGTGGAGGGAGGGGGGGCAGGAGGAGTATGCTGAAGCATAGCTAGCCTCGAAACTTGTTATTGTCTAAAAGCACAATACGCATAAGATGCAGGGCTTGTGGCGCTCGATGCTGCCCCCTCCTGTGCCCCTCTACTCCCCTTCCCGCTGACCTAGCAGCTCCCACCTACAAAGCAAGACGGCTTTTCAAATATAATACTTTCTGTATGTTCAACATCTAGGGCTCGTCGATGTCACTTATTTCGGTGACAGAAGGAAAAATCTCCTTATACAAAGCGACCTTTCACATCCGGTCATCAAACGTTAGAAGGGGGAGGAGAGGGGGGGGGGAGGGCAAAGAGGTGGGGGACATTTCGTCGCGGGAATTATCGCTTTAACGCAAATCTCCAATGTTCGTCAAGTATAGACTATTGTCACAGATTAGGCCACCAGGCAAAAGGAAATCCTTACCTGGCTTCCACGAGTTATCCATTATATAGCGCGTCACAACTATTAAAGTTATTCAAGCTCCTTCCTTCATAAGGTTTAGGCTTGAAAGTGGAAAAGACGGTCTTCGTTGAGTACCTACTACACCACACCCTCTAACGCTACCACCCACAGCTATCTAACAAATTCTGAAGCCACGCACCAGTTTCACTTCATCTACTCTTCAGAGTAAGAAAAGCCTCTGTCCCCCAAGCACAACCGGGAGGGCCTATGACCATCGCCAATGATTTCCAAGCTCTCTGATATCGGAGATTAGGCCTGGCGGGTTATCTACTCCTGGAAAATGGCCACCAAACTCGTGATCTAAGATTGTAATAGTGTTAGCAACTGTTACAGTAGATAGTTCGAGTGTAAAGTTAAAAAAAACTATAGAAAATGCCAGACCCGACATCTCAACACAATAAATAGCATCCATTACCGTTATGCCATTCCTCCTGGGAGGTTCCATCGGTGTGCATAATTGGCACAGCTTCTTGTTACTGAGCGACTCACCTTTCCAATATACCAAATTCCCAACCTTTCTCACCACAGCAGGCGGGAAAAACGTGTTGTTGTACTTGAAGTTGCTATACAGCATGGGCGCGTCTGTGGAAGCCTTGGAATACTCTGGTCTAAAGCCGTTTGGGTTTGAAGCATAGATAAAAACGGATGACAGAAACGACTCGGTAAGAAAGTATAGCGATGTAAACCGAAGTATTTCCCTATGTGTTAGTACGGAAGGGCCTGTTCCTGCCCGTGGATCTGACCCTGTAGAGATGTTAGAATCTTACATATCGGTGGGCTTGTTATGACTAGGTGAACTCACAGTCAAGGATTTGCTGGGCAACCCACGCCAACTGTCCCATCGGGTTATCCTGTAACGCCAGTCCAATCGTGGTAGGCTGAAAAGTTTGTCAGTTAGATTATTATAGTATTTTCATGATTTGTTGAATATTCAGCAGCGTGTATTGTATTACCTTAGTGGTGTGCGTAACAAAGTAGCCAGTGCCGGTGGCAGCGAATTTCGCAAACCTCTCCGCCTGAAACTGTTCACTCTCCGTCAGGGTGATATTATCCGCTGCCAGCTGATCCGGAAGCTTCGGCATGAAAGGGATCATAGAAAAATGAGCAGCACGGACGGTGGCCGGATACTGCTCATACAATGTATAAGCGATACCAGACCCCCAGTCGGTCCCGTTCACAGCGAAAGTCTTGTAGCCAAGTATATCAGTCATGAGGGTGTGGAAAATGCGAGCTGTGTCGGCAATGGTCCAAGTTGGGGGTGGTGCTTGTGAGAAAGCAAATCCTGGGAGCGAAGGGATAATGATGCCAAACGAGACATCCGTGCCCTGTGAGGTTTTCGCCCTCTCAACCAGAGGATTCACTAGGGGTAAGACTTCCAAAAACGAGCCTGGCCAGCCGTGTAGGAGTAGAAGGGGTATTGAACCCGGTGTTTCAGAACGATGATGAATGAAATGAATTTTCAATCCTTCGATGTTCGTGGTGAAATGATCGTAACTGCCGTTTCCACTGTGTGAGAAGGCATGAACGCTTAGAGGGAGCTTCACATTAGGTGCATACCTGTTCATCTGTTCCTCCTCTAAATTCCAGTCGAAATCTGTGATCCACTGCTTTTGTAACTCCCTCAAAACATTCAAATCAATCCCTGCTGATGATCCAAAGCCCGAGTAAATAGATGTTTCGGGCAATTTGGTGTTCTTCACCAGATCCAGCATGCGCGGGACATTCTTAGACAAGTCGACCGTGAAGGGCTCGACGGAACCGAGTTTGGCTTTGGAATTTTTGGCACTCATTTCTCATAGATTGTTGGTATAGGTAGATTGCTGAGAGGGTGGATTTTGCATCGGTCTGTGAACCACCATCAGCATGCCGTCTTACCTTTTATACTTGGCTCACTCTAGATGGATCCGCCATTTCACAAGTGAAGCGGAACCGGAGGGCCGGGGGAACAGCAACCGGAGGATATTGTAAAACAAATATAGAGGTCAACTGTGTTATTGTAAATCGCACCCAATAACCTGCCAATTGTCATGGCCGTTTTAATGGAGACTGGCTCACGCCCTTGAACTAAAGACAACGTCTAGCACCAACAGAGGCTTGGGCCCATGTCAGAATATTCCTAGCGTGGCTCAAACTTCCGGTCAACCCTCCGGATGCTTCTCCGCAACTCCGCTGAATTCTGTCGTTGCCACGTAGTCTGGCATATGCCGGACGAAAATACGGCAACAAAGGTGCTGAAGTGTCGAGAACTTTTTTTCGCGCGTAACTTTATATATGTATTAATATTACAAACTATATGTAGGGATATGTAAGCCTGAGTGGTGAGCTCCTTGTACAAGGCTGTCTACGTCGTCAATAACAGTGCGATTTCCGTTAAAGAGGGGCATTTTCCATACTCACTGATGCTCTACCATAATTTGGTGCATGTGTACAAATGAGGCTGAAAAATGCTAACACAATGCAATTGTATGAACAAGTAAAATACTATTCATTGAAGCAAAGAACGTCATTTTATCTGCTCAATCTATGAATAAATGTAAAATTTATGGCCGATGGGATTCGACCTAATTTTGGCTTTGAGATACCTCCCCATGAGGCCCATAAGCTGACCTTGTATCTCTTGAATGGCTTGAATCTTGTTCACAAAGCTAGTATGTAGCAAAAGTGGATTTACCACTATTGACTGATTTCTATTGGACTCTGCAAGAAAGACAAGTTGGATATTCTCCTCGTCATCTACAGCAGCAACGGAAATGCCACCACGCACACTTCGCTTAATAAGCTCCTCCAACTCTGTATGATATCCAGATTGCACCAGTTTCAGACATTTAGACAATCGACAGACTGCTTCGGCCAGTCTAGATTGGCTTTGTAACCGCTTCAGTTGTATCTCTCGTCCCAGTATATCAGTCACGAGTGGCGCAATGCTGCCAAATGCAACACGGCAAGCCTCATCAACATTCTTAATCCGCTCCAAGAAGAGGCCAATTGTTTCCGGTGAGATGTGAGGCATCGTAATGAAATGTACCCAATCCCCCTCCGGTCGGAGAGAGAATTTTTCCGTGATCCAAGCGACCGGCCGTTCAAAAACCACAATCATACTGTCGGGGTTTCTCTTGGTGGCCAACCCTAAATTCTTAAGTCCCGTTTCCAGAAACAATGCGTTTTTCTGGCAGTAATTACGCAACTGAAGTCGATCGCTGGGCGTATAAACTTGATTGTACAGCCAGGTTTCAAAGACGATCCTAGGATCAGGATTTGGAACGGTCCCTACAATATCGCGATCGGGAGTGAAGCAAAGTACTTCCCCGGACACATTCTGACCAAGGGCCTTATGGTGACTTATTGTAATGCCCTGTACACAAGGCGCACCATTAGCGTCAACAGATCCAGGCCTGCCCAGTCTGATGCTGCAATTATCAAACCCAAAATCAAAGGCTCCGTCGGCGTGAATGTATGAAATCTCTATACCATGCTCCTTTAGCGCCTGGTAGATTTCAGACAGATTATCTCGCGCTCCGACAAATGTTGTTCCAATGTTTGCGAAGAGGATCAAATGGTATTCCCGGCCTTCTGCTGTATAGCGCTGCTTATCCAACATGACTTGTTTCAAGAGCGTATCTACGCACATCCTGCCCTGGGCATCCGAACCAATTTGTGAAAATTGGGGTTCTCTCAATGACCAGACATTTGAAATCTTATCACAGTCTCGAAGTGTCTTCATGACACTGTAGTGTGTCTCGGTCGATAGGTAAAGAGTAGCATCAGGAAACTGGGAGAATGCTGTATGAATTCCACACCGGTTGCCCATCGTACTGCCATTTGTAAAAGCAGCTTTGAAATTACACTGATTCCCTGCGTTGGGGACCCCAAAAGACTCTAGACGGGAGGTCAGAATGTTGTGTGCCATGTTTTCGACCCAATGTTGTGGAATGTCGCGATCCCAAAAGCGGGCAATAACTGGCCCCAGAGCCGCAAGAGACCCCATGTGTAGCGGGTAGCCGGCAGTAGACCTTGTGATGGTCTTCCAGCCTTGGACAGTTGCTTTGAGCTGTTGCAGAATAGATGGATCAATCGGGTACTGATCCAACAAGGGTTTGCTCATTGAAAATTTGTCTGGGTGTGATTTCCAGAATGAAGGGCTCGAAGAGAAAGCCTCGCCTGTAAGAAATTCCGTCTGAATAGCCAAGACAATCTCCCCAGACTTAACGAGCGTTCCGCCTAATTTCAAAAGACGCTGCTTCTGAGACGAAGAGAAGGAGACGACGACCACGTCTAAAGAGTAGGTGGATGGATAGGCCGTCATCCCCTGAGATTTCAAAACCCTCAAGACGCTAGATCTAATGTGAAGAAGATCTCTGCAAAGCTTTTGGATACCGCTGTTCCCGAGTCTTGACTGATAAAGAGCTAGCCAAAGCGGTGCAATTGCGTCCCTTGAGCCACCCAATGTTGAATCAAATGACCTGATATAAGCCACTTTCTCTCCTTTGCCGCCTTGGTAGTTGGGCGTTAATGAGACTGCAGGGCCATGATGGGGTTGATTCAAGCCGCCTGCCACTATGCTATTTGCAATCACAAAGCCGTCTTCGGTTCTCAGGAAGTCGTTGGGGGATTTGTTGGCCAAAATAAATTTCTCCACGCGTGCTTGTCCTCTTTCATGTTCCGACATAGTCGTAATGTAATCAAAACTTCGGAAGGCGTCGACATGTAGAACCAAAGGAATTTCAGTAGAAATATCTGCAATGAGGCTAATTTTGTCATTTTCAGTGGCGGAATTCCCTACCGATGCAGCAAATATCATAGGGCGGGCTCTGTTGGCAGTGGCGTTGAGTAGCCTCTGTATCATTTCCTCCCATGGATCGGATAAATGAACCCTGATAGTGTCAAGCCCAAGAACCTTTTGGATAGCGTCGATCAGCTTGTGATCAAATTGGTCGTAAACGAGAATGGGTCTCTGGCTTGGGCATATTCTCCTCAGCTCTTGCTGTAATGCACGGATGCAATAGCAGCTTGCCTCTAAGTGGCTAGAAACGTATCCGACAGCTGATGAGTTACCAACCCGGGAGCCCAGTATTTGGAGAAGCTGAGTCTCGAAATGCTTGAAATGGAATGGCCAGCTGGAGTCAATTTGATCCGGCATATTGACTTGGTTGCTGTGCCATGGCAGGCCGACTTCTGCCAGAGCGCGGCCAGTGTCTTTCCAAATAGGGCATGAAGAAATCGAGAACGGCTTTCTTTTCATAAATTCCCAATCGTGATACAGATCGTTTGTATCCGAAAGGACACAGTGAATATGATGTGTGGGATCTCGCCACTGGCAGATGACAGGGTCATCGATCCATTGCGACCGGGAATGACGAAACGCATCTTGAATTACACAGTCCCGGGGAACGAGAAAGTGCGTTACTTTCGATAAACCCAACGAGTCTGGGTTGTTGTTCGCCACGTTGGCCCTTGCGCGACCTGGGCCTTCCATGTTGCGCTGATGCCGCCCCGATCAGCTTTAATCTTTCTTGAGCGAATAGTGGATGAAACTTCAATATCACTTTAGACATACTATTCTGAAAAGGATATATATGTAGCTTTACTACACGGAGGTATAAGTAGTTCACTCTTCTACTTATCGTCTTCACCCCTGATTACAAGATCCCCTTTTTGAGGGTCCCTTTCCAATCTCAAAGCCACGACCCACCAACTTTCTTCTCCGCCATAGTAATATTTTCTCTAGTTCCTCCCCGTGTAAGGCAGAATCGAACGCACTTGCCAACTCACTGGCCAGCTGATTTTCTTTCGCGCATGGCGATGCCGAGCTCTTAAGCGAGTTAGGACCTCACAGGGGAGACATGTGTTGCAACGGCCAATCGCTGCATGTCGTGGCCCAATCCTTCTTGAAGATGTCATCGAGCTGCATATTCAGCTCGGATTGGGAGGGAGGGGCAGAGAGTATCTATATGCCATTCGTCACCCATCCTGGCCCTCAGCTACCCGCAACGTCTCTAACGGCCCGCTACTGCAGGCTACTGCGCGCTCAGCCAGCCACTCAGACACTAACGCGGAAAGCTGATCAATAAAATTTCTAATCACGCCTACCATCTACAAATTAACCGCTATAATCCAATGTTGTCTGACAGGTAGCGCGAAACCGACAGTCTTTCGCGCTCCTTGTCCAGCTTCCCTTGAGTCTGGTATATTTGTGCAATGGAATTGGCAGAATTCTTGGGCGTATAAAGATCTTGCCAGAATAGGAACCCAGACCCCCCCTTACTTAAATAGCTCTGCCATGAAGCAGGTGATACAAGAGTTGAGATTATTTGGGGATGCAACCGGGGTCGGCGTGCCAATCTATGAGAAATCTTCCGAAGTCAAAGGTGTCGAGCTTCTTCAAGCGTTCAGGGGAGTATGAAACATATGAGGAGGTGATATGTAGACACCTATGCATCTTAAGGTTAAATTCCAAGACCCAACTAAAGCCACCAGGGGGAGAACATCCATTCCTTGCAAACTAGTAGTCCAAATGACAGGTCCCCTCCCCAAAATGCCATCTACAAACAATACCGGAAGGCAGTGTTTTCCCCGTCCGTCAAGTCATTCTCAGCTGCTTCCAGACCAGCAATAGTCTGACGTTCAACCTTGCCATATTCACGGTCCCTCCTCTTGTTCTCAATAAAACATAGAGCAAAGTATACTGCACCGCAAACTCCTTGCACAGCAAATGCAGTCATCATGGCATATATCCCAAGGGGATAGTGAGGAGCCTGAGTGTCAAGAAACAGCTGTGGGCCAATAATGTTGCCAATCGCGTAGAGGAGTGACATGGAGGTGGTGGCGAATGATCTCTTAGTAGCACCCGCATTGTTTGAGGAAACAAGGGACATTGCCATGACCCAGGATACGTTGTAGAACCCCATCATGTAGACACCTGCGAGAGCACCGCCCCTATTCGTGGCAGGATCAAGAACTAGCCATGCTATTAGCATCACAAAGCTGAGCTGAGCTTAATGACTGAACACTTACCACGAATGAGAACAGCTCCCACGAGCCCGGGAAGAGTCGAGAGGGCCCAGATTAAGCATCGGATATTTGGCACATGGTTTGCAACAGCGGAGCAGGTAATCGCAAAGAAGGTAGCCACTGCCGCCTGTGGTGATGCCAGCAAAGCTGTTCTCTCCCTCGAATACCCAAAACCGGATATAATCAAAGGGTTGAACTGGATGTAAATGTCAATTTCTGGTATCTCGGAGCTGAGGTAGGACAAAACTTACGTTGGTAATGCCGGCATTAACAATACCCCACGCAATAACATAAAGCGCCAACACCCAAAACTTGGGGTCGATCAGTGATTCAATAATCTGACCCCACTTGAACTGATGAACATTGCCTTGTCCCGTTTGATTTGGTGCAATCCTGATCACCTTATTCTTCTTGTCTTCGACATTGTAAAACCAAGCAAGAGATGGATGATCCGGAAGCAGGAAAAAGATTGCAACACCCAAGCCAAGACTCACAGAGCCATAGATGAGAAAGATGAGCTTCCAAACAGGATACTGGCTATCAAGCTTAGATATGGCAAAGGCAAAAATGCCACCCAAGACACCAGCCAGGGTGTTGTACCAGATGGCGGTGCGCAGGGGCTGCTCCTCACGGCGGTACCACGTTCCCGTCAGTATCATGTTGATAGGCACAATGCCCGCCTCAAAGAAGCCCAGAAGAAAGCGAATGGCAGCCAGGCCCGCAAAGCTGTTGCACGCCATAATGGAGCACACCAGGACGCCCCATGTCAAGACGAGGAACGACATGAGCTTGGCCAGGGGCACCTTCACTAGGATCCACCCTAGCGGGAATTGCGCAATCATGTATCCAAAATACACAATCGAGCCTAACCAGCTGTACTGCTGTCCGTGGAGATGCGTGTCGTCTTTCATTCCGAACAGGGCTGCAAAACTGAGCGCGTTCTGTGAAGGGAGACGTTAGCGAAAATTGGTGCCCTCGTTGTATCAGGGGCTTGGCTTGCCTTGTCAAGCAACGCAATGACTGACGCCATTGTCATGAGAGGAAGAACAATGAAGTCGACTCGAAGTCTCAGTCTGCGGTTGGTTTTGGAGCTCAACGTCTCGGCTTCCAGCTCTTCCCCTTTCAGGCCAATTTCGTTGACGATGCCATTGTCCTTATTGTCTGCCGTACCAGTAATACCGGCGGCGTTGGTTGACAACTTGTCCATTGCCAAGTGAAGCTCTTGCAGATGGTGTAGATCTGATAACTCGTTCTGCAGAAGATAAGATGATTTGTTCCCCTGCGTGATGCTTGGCTGTGGCTGTAACATAATCGTACTTCCTCGCGGTAGATGGCGTCACTCTTTTATTTATACATGTACCTACCTAAAGATGATCCAGTTTTTGAGAAAATTTGCTAGTATCGCAAATGAGCTGGTGCTATTCAGACAAGGGACTAGCATACCTGGTCATTCATGGACTGATCCATTCGTATGACTTAAGTATGATCATGATAGTGATATATCCAAGGCCGAGTGCCGCTCCCCCACACAAGGTCCATTCATGATAAGAAAACCCCACTCCACCGTCGGACAGTTGACGCCGAATAGCACGAAATGATTGCCAGTGCAGCAAGGAAGGGTATCGGAAAAGAAATAGGCAAGCGAAGTCTCCAGATGGGTGGCTCAAAGGCGATCGGAGTCATGTTAGGCTTGATACAGCACGTGGCATCCGGTGGCTGTCGGCATACATGGAGCCCTCATCGGAAGGCTGTTGGAGTTGATCCCCGGTTTCGGGCCCAGTCTACCAGATAAGTGGCACGGAATAGGCTAACATCCCAGTCCTGAGCCACTTCCATCCGACCTCGTGGGACTTCGCTTCATCCAGGCGAGCCCACGCGAGGGAACTATTGCGCAATTAAACCCCTGGGCCCACGGCGGGCGTTTCGTCTTCGATATTTCCAACCGGCAAGCTGCCACTCTGTGCATTTTCTAGCCTTCGTACGTGGGTGCACAGTATAGTAGGCCAGCTCATCATGAAATCTTCACGGTACATTTCTGTGGTTGGATGCCATGCGGAGGGAGAGGTTGGCGATGTCATTGTCGGAGGAGTACGCGATGTGCCAGCCAAGACCATGAAGGAGAAGTTCTTGCACTTCAGGGAGCACCACGAAGATCTACGTCAGCTAATACTCAACGAGCCAAGAGGTCGCCTTGAGATGAGTGCCGTCTTGATTCTCCCCCCATGCGACCCTCGAGCAGACGCTGGATTCATCGTCATGGCCAGCGGAGATTGGTCGCCCATGTCCGGATCCAACGCCATTTGCACCACAACCGTCATGCTTGAGACCGGCATGATACCCATCAAGGAACCGCTGACCGAGGTGCTTTACGACACAGCTGCGGGCTTGGTGAAAGTGGAAGCCCATTGTGAACAGGGGGAGTGTAAGTCAGTATCGCTCGACAACGTTCCGGCTTTTGTGTACGGCTTGGACATACCGATCGAAGTCCCTGGCGTAGGGACAGTGACGGTTGACATCGCTTTCGGAGCGCGGTGGTATGTGTTCGTTGACGCGGCAAGCCTAGGCTTGAAGGTCTTGAACGAACATGGGCCGCAACTTGTCGACTTGGGCAACCGCATCAAAGCCGCAGTACTGGAAAAGCACACTCCTATTCATCCCGAATCGCCAGAGTTTCGTGGCATCGATAACATCGGCATCACGGAGCCCATACAAGAGATTAGTGGTGAAAAGATTGCCAGGCAGGCCATGGTCATTAACCCAGGTCGGCTCGACAGAAGCCCATGCGGTACGGGCAGTTCCGCAAGGATGGCCGTTCTACATGCGAAAGGTTTACTGAAGGTCGGAGAAACGATAAAGTTTCAAAGCATGATTGGAACAAGATTTGTCTGTCATATCCGCGGCTTGGCCAAGGTTGGGGACAAAGATGCGGTTCTCCCGACTATACAAGGTAGAGGTTGGATAACAAGCTACAAACAAATAGTTCTTGATCCTTCAGATCCTTTTCAGACAGGATATCGCCTCAAATAAAAAGAGGTATCTATCTTCAGTGATTCAAGTTTCTAATTTCCCTGCTCCAGTTCACTCTTCTTCCCCCTTGTGGAAGTATCTGTTTCAACTATCTGGGCAAAAAGATATTGCACAATTCGTGTTTTTCTGTATCCTTGTGGCGGGAAATGTCGATAGATGCCACCATTTTTGCCTGATGTTTACACTCTAATTCCCTCCATTCTCTCAAAGCTTGTACCTGAAAGTCGGCGCCTTATCACCCAACTCGAGCAACTCTTTCTCTGTAGGTACCCTTGCCTCGGGACCTAAAGCGTCTCTCTTTTTGTTTATCTTCCGGCACAGAAGATAGTATCCCACAACCGTAAGCAGACCTAAAGATGCAAAGGTTAATACCAAGGAGTGTCCCAGTCTATATCGAGGTGCATCCGTTTTCTTGTAAAAGTTGGCTGCAGCAGCGCCTCCCATAGTACCGAATCCGATTTGAATAGCCATTCCAACGGCGCGTTTGGTGTGAGGGGCGTAGTTGTTCGATGCAAGCGCCAACAGACAAGGAATGCCTACAGAAATTATATTAGATACGCAAGATCTAACGATGGATTTCGTGCGGGAGTTGCTCACTGGGATACATCCCACATGCTGCGATGAAACATCCAGCGTAGCTCAAGCCAGGGATAAAGTTAGACGGGGCAACTGCAATCAGGAACCCAACAAATACGGCGATATAGCATCCCATTGCAAAAATGCCTCTTTTCCCGGTTTTATCTGCGTAGTAGCCAACCACGAGAGTGAATACTGTGGCCGCAGCATACACCGGGATGGTCAACAATTGTGCAATCTGGGCAGTGTAGCCGAGCCCATTGATGATGGTAGGGAGAAATAAGGACAATGCATATACAGCAGTAGCCTGTTCATAATCAGCATGGGTGACTCAACAGGAAGATGAACCTGTAACTCACCATTCCCCAATAATTGATAGCATGGAAAATAGTCTTTGAATCTGTTAGTTTGCGTCCCAGTATTCTGATAACAATGCACTGACCTGCCAATCTGTGAATGCTTTCCATGCATGCGACGACTTCTTCTCTCCCTTTTGTCCCAAGGTAGGATTATTTGCAGCTTCCGTGTTGCTCTCAACGCTACCCTCATTCAACAGCCTCCGCAACACCAACTTCTCGCGGTCTGTCAGAAATTTTGCGGTAGCCGGTTCATCCATGACCAGAAAGTATGCAAAGGCGGCAACCACAACAGTCAGTATTCCTTCCAGGATAAAGCTGTATCGGAGTTAACATGAATCATCATTGTGGACAATGAAGATCGGGGAATTCCTACATCCATCGCCATCCTTCCAACCCACCAACCCCATCCATCTTGTCAATGAGATAGGCTAGAAGACCGGAGAATGCGCCTGCCATAGACGCGGATGCGAAGACCATCGCAAGCCTGAACTGTGCGTTTTCTCTCGGGTACCTGTACTCTCATTAGTTACCAAACTGATGGCATATCACGCGAGCGTATTTCGTACCATAAAGACATATAGAATGCAATTCCGGGGACTGTTTTCATCGATTAGGTTGTTTCCTTGCAATACTTCGGAGGGTCGTAGCGCTTACAAAGCCCAGCTTCAGTCATACCGAGGAAGAATCTTGCGGCCAGCAGCCCTGAGTAGTTGTGGACAATGCCAGTCAAAGTGGTGGCGATTCCTAGGTTGCATGAGCTCATTGTTCTCTGATTTTGATAAATGAGATTTCCTACCCCAAAGCACCATTATGGAAGGTAACCAGCGGCTGGGACTAAATTTGACGAGCAACAGGTTGCAAAACGGCTCAAAGAAACTATATGGGAAGAAGAAAATCGTCAAAGCCCTAATTTTTGATAAGCCTCATACTTTCACAGATGCCTCTTAATAGCGGCGAATCGCAAAATACCAGTTGTATTGGTTGCCAACCAGGCCCAAATCCGCAGACAGTCCCAAAACATTTGCATTTCCGATGCTCCCTGCTCATGGTCAGCACCAAGTTTGACGCGAAACCGGATACTCAATTACCTCGGTCTAAAAAGCTGAGCAGATATAGGACTGCCAAGATTGGGACCACTCGGAGATCGATTTTACGAAGGATCCTTTGGCGCTCTTCCTCGGACACTACATCTTCAGTGTGCGGTTTCGAGGTTGGCGTTTGACTTTGATCCTCGAGGTGGATGGACTCCAGCGCTTCTTTCGTTTGGCCTACCTCCATTGTAAATGAGACATACGAGTCTAGGGATTGGCGAGAAGTTGTGGTAGGTTAATTCCCTTGCTTACATTTACCTGGGATCGCACAGCGTTTTAAACAATGCGAAACCTCGCCGTAGTCGGACCTGATCCGCCCACAGCCAAGGGACCGACTCAATATCCCCGCATCATTCCCTCGTGTTACGTCCAGTCAATGAGTTCATCGCCCTTGTCAATGTGGGGAGTCAAGGGATTTATGCCTGTTCACAGTGCAATTCAGAAGCTGATCATCCCCACCACCATCACCGCCGGTTTGCGGGGACACATGACCGCCTATCGTTCTCCGCATGTAACCTCGGAAAATGCAGGATTATAGATATATCCCTCTGTGCGGTCGATCTTCAGGCTTCATGGACTCGGATACTGGGAATTGCATTTAGTTGATATTGATAGTTTCAGAGGTCGTACGGAGATTGATTTTCAGTCAGTGACAAGACTGCCAATGGGGTCTGGTTAATCTATCTGTCACATAGGATGGAGTCCAATTGTTAACTCTAATTTGATGTCAAGAACTTCATTTCATAGTCTCTATGAATGTTCTAGTGCTAATGGATAATAATGGGTAGCGTCGAAGATGAATTTATGGAGAGCTTTGAAACGCTGATCCGAGCCTGTCCATAGAACTAAGTCACAACATGACAATTCGGATCGTCTTCTATCTACGATGTGTTAAAAACCATCAACAATTTGGCCAAAATTTAGGTCAAACTGTACATTGGAATGATCTCCTACAATATTTGCTCGTTCTCCAAAATGCTAAAATGCAGGATCAGGGAGATCGTGTAGTGGTTAGCAAAGGAGCATAGGGTAGGCTGAGCGTGGGGTGGACTTGAATATGTGCCGAAGAAAGAGAAACTCGAGAGCCCTCTAGGATATAGGCATCAAAGTGAAACAATATCTTTTTCCGTTATTAAAAATCAAATGTCATCGTTTCAGAATTTGTTGAATATTCGTGAGAAGAAAGTGCATGCGATCGATTCATGCGCCAGTACTCGCATATCGGCTCTTTGCTGTTTCATTAATTAGCGACAAACCATCTTCCGAAACATTTTGCCCGGAAAGACGGCAGCTGTGTTTCGTCTAGGGTAATGCCAGGTGCCTCTGAGATTGTTCTCAGGTCGCCTTGCATGTACCGTTTTTCATGGGGAATTGCTCTTCGCCCGAGCCTACTTGGAGCAAGCGGTGTGAAGGACAGACGGACGAATGGGAGTGATTGAAAATGGTACTCATTTATCATGTACTATATATTTTATTGAGGATTTGACTTTGTATGCATGAATATTTTCATCAAGAAAAGAAAAGGTCTATATGCAATCATTAAAATCTACAGTCAACGTTAAAAAAAAATTCGCCCGCTCTCGTTAAATGTGAAGTTCCTCGATCGGATACGGGATAGAGGACCCGTTGACGAAGAGCGTGTGCTGCTCTTCCTTAAACTGGCTGTGCAGCCGGTCGACCAGCATCCTCATGACGCTCCGCTGCAGGATGGTCACGGTCTTCTCCTTGGTCTGCCAGTTGTGGCTGACGAAGTGGCCCCGGCACGCGCCCTTGCCCTCCTCGTAGTACTCGTTGCCGTTGGCGTGGGCGCAGGGGATATTACGCACCTCGTCGGGCTCGGTGAAGTTGTAACGGATGTAGTACGAGAAGGCCGACTGCTCGTGCGCCCAGTTGTGCTTCCAGTGGTTGCAGCCTTCGATCTTCTCGGGGCACGTCTCCCACATGTCCATCATCTGACTGGTCCGCTCGCTGGCCTGCGCGATGAGGAATCCGGTGTTGAGGATGATCTTGCCCTGGGGGTCGTAGTCTGGCGGGATGTCCAGATCTTCGGCCATGGCGATGAGGGTGTGGGGTTTGTAGTCCCAGAGGTTCATGAGCCACTCGATGGGAAGCTCGAGGTGGGTGATCACAGCATCGGCGTCGAGGAATACCACGTAGTCGTGCGTCTTGAGAGCCTCCTTGAGAATGCTGACCTTGACCCATGTACCGTGTCTATCGGGGTAGTCGCCGGCCTTGATGAGTCGGTAGTCATAGCCGTGGATCAATGCTATTAGTGGGAGTTAGCAATTGCCTGCACGTTCCTCCAGAGATGGTCATTCTTCTGCTTCCACTCACCATAGAGATAGTGATTCAAATGGCCACCGGTTCTTCCACCAAGCTTCGAGAAGTCGAACGGGTTGGGGTTCAGCAGCGTGTTCTCATTGTCCTCGCTAACTCGTGTGTCGACATCGATGACCACCACCTTCTTCCCAAGCGGCTTCTTCCAAATCTGCTGAGTGGGGGGGATTTCGAAACGGACGCCCTCGTTGGTGATAAAAACGGGATTCTCAAGTGGGTGACATTTTGGCTTCCACAATTGCGCCAGAAGGGCAGGCAGGTCGAGGTTCTTGTTGACGTGTGTGCTTTCGACGAACGTTGGCTTTGGCTGCTCGATGATCGCTGTCGAGCTGGCCGGCACCTCCACGGCGATCGATGTTGGAGCAGCGGGCGAGTCCAACGACGGTACCTCAGTGGGCTCTGCTAACGACGAAGAGACTGATTTGGTCGTGTGTTTAGAGTTGGAATCGTTGGGCGACGGTGCGGTCCAATGCCCGTTTCCAAGCAAGTCTCTGTCGGAGTGCAACTGTATTAGCTCACAGCCCACCTGTTTGAATCGACGAGGGGAGAAAACAATCAACTTACTTCGACAGGCTAGAGGACAAGGCCAGGTAGAACAGCACTAGGATGGAGGCGGCAGCAGCAATACGAAATCCCCAGGCTGTGCCCCATCGGCCGAGGGCATACTGGTTTATGACTACCATGATGAACACTTGCTGCTGGTGGAGAGGGGAAAAGAGGGACTTCCAGCACGCATAAAAATTCAAGAAAACGAGGGTCAGAAGACAGAAGAAAGCAGGAAAGTGATCTGGCTACGGGTGGTGCGGGTTATGAATACGAGTTCACTTTAGGCTAACCCCAAATCTCGCTTCCCAGGTCGCATCAGAATGTGTGTCTGGGGGGGGGGTCTGAGGGCGGCATGAGGGGTACATCTGGTGCACACCATCGTCAATAATGCCCTGATGCTATTTACGAAGGCGAATAGGAAAGCGAGAAACTGCTGATAGCGTCCGCTATTCTCAAATTCTAATGCCTGGTATCTCGATATGGCTACGGTAGCTCGGTACAAGGGTCTGTCCCTGAAATGAGCGGGTATCAAAGAAACACCAGCATCCAGATCCAGGGGGGGCTCGAGCGCTCGGGGCACAACAGGAACTGGGTAATTATGGAGAGTCTGACTACCGAACCAATGCGGGCCGCTAATTAGAAATTCTTGCGCTCAAGGCTCATCAGTTGCGTTCCGAGAGGCGTACCAGTTCGTTCAAGTCGACAGGATCGCTTCATTGTTCGCATCTTGGACCATGCCCGGTATGAGTAGCTCATATAAGCTCGCCGCATTCACGGTTACGACTTCCGTTTGCGAATAAATAGAGGCATCAATGCAAAGAATGCTGCGACAAAATGCATCCTCTTATGCTGACTCAGATTGGCTTGGGCGCTATAAATGCCTGACAGGTGCCCAGGAGCAGGGGTAGGTCAATGTATTGATCCACGTGTGAATACCCAGTGGGTTTAGGGACCTCGAAGAAATAATAACAAGGGATTTCTCGTATATAGATGGCGTATTGGGGGAGACGTGGATCTGCTTGACGGGTGGTACGTACGCATGTACGTACAGTAGAAATACCTCAGTCAGATCAGGCTGACTGTCATATTGTCGCTTCTCTGCCGTCGCATGTAAGAGACAAAGGAGGCGGTCTGGCCGGGAAGGGACACTGAGGCGCGAATGTCACGATCCTTCTGGCGACTCCTGGCTGATGTCTGTGTCTCGTGAGGCGTGTGTCTCGGACAACAGCGCAACGGTGACGATCATTGGGTTCTCGGCGCCGAGCGATGACATGGGGCGCTCATTTTAGTGACAGACCAATTATAATTGCTTATATTCTCAGCTGATGGAGCCAGTGGAACCAATATTGCTCTACTCGTCAAATCAACCAAAGATCTGGGTGACGCCCAGCCCTGTGGACCCGAATAGGGCTTGTGCTAAGAGTTTTAATTAACCAAAGGCCCGTCTGATATTGGCTGGAGTACATACTTCGGTAAGGATAGGCTTCATGGGCCGAGTTGTCACACCGCGAGTCTCGAACCGCGTCTTGGCACCTCAGCAATGTTTTGGGCGCTTTCTTTTTCTTTCCGCTTGTCTTTTTCTTTGCTTCTTTTGCCCACGTCAGTCTCAAGCGCCCGGCCTCACGCTATTGGTTTCGGTGGATGGATACTACGTCCCCCTAAGTGCTTCAGGACGCTGACATCTTACGCCAGTGGCCATTAGCTGACGCAAGCTCCGGCCAGGGTTACGAGTTCAGCCAAGCCGCCCATCTCACTGGTCTTATCGCCTCCTGAGCGATGGAAGAGCCGGCATCTGGGCGGGCCTAACTCGTCCCGAGGCGTCCACTGCCATTGGGACCAGGCGCGCGGATCCATCTTGGAGCGTTTGCTAATTGACAGCAAACCGCTCGCAGTAGCCTACGTACAGAATTCTCGCTTGGCCCCCCTTTTTGACTGCTCCACCAAGCGTGGCCTAAAGCGAGAACCCTTACATTACTAGAGCAAATGCGGGTAGACTTGGCACGACGTGCTGACATTTTCTTTCAACCATTCTTCATGCGCTAGGTCTAGTAAACTCAAATCGGGTCAGATTAGCTTGCCATCTTACAGCTTCATCCATTAATTTTCTACTAACGCTGCAGTTTTAATCCTGTTCCAGGTAGTTTCATCCCATGTACCTGGTGTAGGACGGAGTTTGACCCCTTCTCAAGCGCCCCTGCGTCAATCAGTCTGGGACGATTGTCTCCAGGGCCCATGGGCCATGAGTAATGATCAGCGAATCTAGAATCTACAATGCCAAGCGAACTATTGAGACGATAGTGCCCTGCGTAGCAGAGGGTCTCGAATCAGGGGCTGCTACGACCTATCATCTCCTCACCCTGCGAGAATCATTAGCTCCCAATTGCTTGTGTGTAGTGTGAAGTGGGGATCCCATTTCCGTGCCAGCCTTCAACGTCCGGAATACCTTCGTGAGAAGGTTAAATCCAATTGCTCTCACAACCCGCCCACCGGCGTAGAGAGGTGGCCCGCATTGCGTGTGAGGCACCTTCGTTATTGAGAACCTCGAGGATGAGAAAGTCCATCAGGGCTAACAAGTCTCAGCTCCCGCCTACGCTCTTGGAGATCTTCAAGTCCTTATCTTGGCCCACCATGTAGGTGGCGGCTCCCATATAAGGATGTTCCCCCTGAAGCTAGTTAGTTAGTCGCTGGCCTCTCTTGGATGAATTCGTCCTCATGCATGAAGCACGGGCTCTCAAAGGTGTAGTCATTCTCGCTTCCGCCGAGGGAAAGTTGCGAGATGACTGTGTAGATCACCTTTCAAGATATTGCATCGAAACAAATAGGGGAGCTGGCCTCTACAAGCATATAACGTGCTGCCGTGATTGGCGAGTTGGGAAGTATTCCCGCTGTGTGAATGTTGTGTGGACTCATCCCATTTGTCTTCCTGTTGAGTTGGGTAAAACCCTTTCCACCCTTTATTCACAGCAACATCTGTCTTAACGAGGCAGAATCAGTTTGGATGTGTTCTTAGATCTAAGACTTTTTTTTGAATTAAGGCGCTAGAATTGCACGCGGGCTAATGTTTCTTTGGTGAAGACTCATATAAAGCCTGCGATATCACAGGTCATCGTGTGTTAGGGTTGCCATGTCGCACATAGCCCCCGCAATGTTTCCTTCCAGCCGTTTGGGTTGGCCAAAGCCTCTTCCTTAACAAACATCACAGTTCATTTGACGGATGAGAGAGTTCGAGTATAAAGTTTAAAACAGCAATGGAAGATGCCAGACCCGACGCCTCAACACAATGAATACGAACACACAATTCATCGACACCACGCTAATTATCCGACTTTTGGCCAAATAGAGCGTCGGCGATGCAACAAGCAATGAAATCCTCTGGGAGCTCTAGAAGGCGTTCTTTCAGCCCCCCCTCTATAGTTGAACCAGCCAGCACAGCTTTTGACTTATTCAAGTAGGCTGAACTAAACACCCCCCAAAGCTGTTCTCGGACTTGGCCCATGCCTGTGCCATTTGTTCCCGATTTTATCGGCCTTGGATAGTACGGGTCATTTTCAAAGAATGCCTGAACCAAGTGCTCAACAAGCTCATTCTCGCCGCCAGATGTGAGAACCTGGGTCATATCCCATCTTGAGCATAAGTTGAAGTCCAAAACCCAGAGCCTCGTTGATCGTTGCTTGAAATTGACGGATACAATTTCATCAATGTCGGTGTGTGTCGGCATTGATTCCACTTCCTCTGCCTTCATTCGAACTTGAGGCACGGTGGTCGGCTCTGGATGGTAGATTGCTTCCGCTTCGCTTCCGAGGACAAATTCGATATCATATGCATCGACATTTGCACGCCAATGGATAACGGCCAGTGCCTCTCCAATAGCCCTGGAATAATCCAAGATGGGGAGGTTCAGCTCCAACATCTGATCAAGATGAAGATTGAAATTCCGGAGCGTAAAGTTGGGAGACTTGGGCGTGTTCGGCAAACGACTTCGGCCGAGGTAGACACGAGCAAGGCAGTCTTTGTTTGATGGATTTTCCGTCGCCGTAGCCTTGTGCTCCTCGGGGCAGTAAAGATCAATCAACGCCGTTCGAACGATTTTAGGCAGAGGCAAGATGTGCTGAGTGGCCAGTGCCATCGTTGGCAATTCAAGCTCATCCTGAGTCGTAAAGAAATGGGAGTTTGCTTCCCACCATGACGAATTAGACGCCGTGACGTATTTATAGACCGATGGAATGCGACAATCGGTCGGGTGGTCAGCCAGGGCTTGGTAGACGCGGAGGTGGGCTCGAAGGTCTCCCAGCAAAGAATCTTCGAAGTGTTTTTTTGCTAGCTTCAGTACGTAGCCAGTAGACCGTGCGTAAATAATTCCACATTGTCCGAATCCAACTTTTCGGAATGGGACTTTCATTTCTTGGCTAATCCTTTGGCATGAAGACGTAGTAGTGCATTCAGCTCGTAGGGACAGTAAACGGCACAAAGCCGAGGCAGAGACGTCGTCGTCCTTAAGACAGTCATCCTGTGCGTCATCTAGCTGCTGTACTAGAGCGTTTGTAAGCCGAATATCCTCTTGGAGAGAAGCTGAGGCTGTCGACTCGTCGGTATTGTTCAACGCGCGGCAGGATGCCATCATGCTGTCGTTCTTATTATTGTTGTTAGTATTACTGTTGCTATTGTTGTTGTTGCTGTTGTTTGTGCTGTTGTTTGAGGGTGACTATCGACAGTAACGATTGAAGTAGTAGCAATGGTGAATGAAGAAAGAAGCCGTAGCGGTGAATGTGGAAGAAACAAGGATGGGAATTTCTCCAGCGTCAGGGGAACGAGGTTTGCAAAAATAATTGGGTTTGAGTAGAGTTTCGAGAGTACGAGGCAGTCAAAAAAACCTTAAAATAAAAATCTTCATTCTCTAGGCGTTTATGCTTGCCCTTTAGGTTTTGTTGGTTTCACGGGTCAGGTACCCCCATAGGATAAACGATGCACCTAGGCATCGAATTTAGGGCAAACATCATCGTTTATGCCTACAGTGGCGATATAAGCATCTCATAACTATCCCGAGCAGCGGCTTCGACATGGGAGCCTGAGGCAAATGGTTCCTGAGATCGTGACTATGGATGTTTAATCGTGATGAAAGTAAGATAGCTATTTATGGCGATTTGGGCTGGGAGTGTGGCTGCGCAAAAGAACGAATCAATTTGAGTTCATCAAGGGAGTCACGCCGGCAGAAGAATCATGATAGCGAACACTGCGTATAACCTCAAGGGGCGCCTGCGCTCTATTGACAGGCGATATTGAGCGAACTCTTAAGTTTGATTATCGCTAGCTTCTAGATTGCATGATTGCGTTATTCCTCGGGTCGGTGCCAGCCCATCTGTGCTCCTGCTGTTTTCGCAACGGCTCTCTTGTGCTAGAGATTCTGATTGTTGTTCTTATTGCCCAGACCTGATTTCAAGCATGGGGGAATTAATGCTGGGCTGCGATATATTGGCATCAATTGTGTCTGGCCTGGGAGAAGGTCTGCATCTACAAACAATATTAAGTTAGGTAGTATAGGTAGTCTCAATAACCTGCTGGTACAAGCGAATTGAGCTTTCCTTGATATGAGTATATACTCAGTTTCCATTATCACAAACGGTTCTCCCATATTGGTGCGTTGTAAGTTTTGGTAAAGAAGCTAACCCATGATTGGCTGGCTAATTGGTGGCGCAAAGATGCAAGACTGATGGGCAATTGCGCGATCTCGAATAAGGTGGTCCAGATTGACTATAAGAAGCTAAGATGTCCATTAATAGGCTTCTGGTAATGGTACCACCGTGGACAGAGAGCCCGATGACTCCCCGCGACACAAGATGAGCAGCATTATAACAGCAGATGAAAACACGGAGTACCATTGCAGCCTATGCGGCAAGTGCTTTAGTCGAAGTGAATCTTAGCTTCATGGCCTTTCATGGGGACTGAGCTAAGAACGAACCAGGGGACCTTCGGGAAAGACACCGTCGAAGGTGCGAGCGAGTTGCTACGACGCCACGAAGAGGAAAACAGAAATCCTGCGGAGCATGTGTTAAGTCTAAATCTGGCTGTGACCAACTGCAACCTTGTTCTCGCTGTAAATCAAGAGGCATCGACTGCGAATATGCCATGAACTCGACTCAGCCAGTTTTGACTCTTAATCAGGCGGAGCATCATGGTAGAATGAATATCCCTCGAATCCACGATTCAGAGCCTGATTCAAGTGTAGATTCCCACCAGGCTGAAGACTTGGGCTATGGCAACACAAATAATGTCGCTGTTCAACCCACTGAGAATCTGCATTGGACCTCAGCAGGCATTCCCGGAACTGCTGAAGAGAATCTCTACTTTGTTTCGCATCCGGGTTTGAATCAAGGACAGACCGGTTCTGGAATTAATTTGCTAGAATCTTTCGGGATACCATCAACCGGCGATTTACCACAAGAGAGCCAAGCGGCCGGCGATTCTCGATTTGAGAGCTTCACCTGGTACCCCCCCTTGAATTGGGACGAACTTCCTGGTATTGAGGAAGAAGTAAGCACATCTTTGAGAGTGGAAACAGAAATTGAGGAGCCAGGTAAGCTGAACCTTGCCCTCAGAAGGCTGCCGAATCTTGATCCTGAGGCGGGAGTCTTCAGTACCGGGCGTTTTGAAGACTTGGGAAATGATGAGAATTGGATGGAATATATCTACGGATTTCCTCAAATGATGCTCAAGGCCGGGACATACCCACCTTTTGTACATCCGAGTGTCTACCGTTGCTCCGAAGGAGAGGTCACCGCGCCATTGGCAATAGCATTCTGCTGCTTAGGCTCGTATAATGCCGCAATGCGCAGCAGTGAAAAGTTTGCATACTCGATGATCAACCAAGAACGCGAGAATTTGATCAAAGACTTTGTATGTTGAGGTAACTTTCATGATGTGTGACCGAGAATCTCGCTAACGAAGGCAGCCAAATATTTGCTCGAAACCTGATATCTGGGTACTCGCCTCTGTGCACGCCATGTGTGTCTACCAAATTGTTGGCTTCTTCGGAAAAAGCCCCGAACAGGTCTTGCAGGCACAACTGCAACAGCCCTGGCTACTGAAGGTGATTCGAACTGACTGTTTTGTGTAGAGGGTTATCCTGAAGCTCACGATATTTTCTAGATGACGAGATACTTGGCCCGAACTCAGACCACCAAAATTATCTGTGCTCCGCAAGAAACATGGGAATCATGGGCTCTTTCAGAGACAATTCGTCGCACAATCTTGCTCGTTCATAGTATCAACTCCTTGTCATGCAGAGTCGGAAGGCAGGACCCTCGTTTATTCGAATCTCTAGACGATGAACTTGTCTTCCAATCGTCTCTACCTGCAGCTATTGACCTATGGAGAGCTAAGACAGCCAGCGAATGGTCCACCAAGAAATTATCAATGAGCGCCAAAGCAACCGCAAGAGAGAAGATGAAAATTGGCACAGCAATTGAGAGTCTAAGTTTTGGCGAAATAGCTGGTTACTCATATGCTTCAGACCCTGACCAGTACTCGCGGATGGTGGTAGATTTATCTCGATCAAATTATGGCATTTAGAAATCTTGGGTTTAAGCTTTATAGAGAGTCTGAATATTTTGGCCTTTCCTCATTTTTTGCATTTGGGTTGAATACTAATCAGAGCATTTCCTCCGCTTGCTTTGGATGACGACTAACCGACCCCCAAATCCCTTCCCAACCTTCAGCGCTTTATCAGGGTCATCATCCTCATCTATCAGTATTACATTCTCGGGGTAAAGCTTGCCAAGGAGAGCCATTTGAATCAGAGGATCCTTTGCCATGAAGAGATGCAGATCATCTGAACGGCTTCCCTCGTCAGTGGTAACAAACCCCGGAAGGCCAAGAATCTTAGCAGTATCGTAGACATGAAGCAAATTTATCTTGCTGCCATTCCGTTTGGCTATTTCTAAAAGGGGCTCTTTTGCCTCGTCTGATTGAAACGGCCTCTTCTTCTCCTCGCCGGAGTTGCATCTGTAGGCGTACCTGTGGCCTCTGGCAATCTGACCGATATCAATGGCGAAGGGCTGAGCACCATCAAGAGAGATTCCAAGCTTCAAAACTCTCCTGGATGAGTCATTAGCCTTATGGACGCCAAATGATGATTTTGTCACCAGTGGGTTAAGAGCGAGGAGCGATGCAGGTGGCCAGTGGCCGGGGGGTAGGCTGTTGTTTGTTTTAGGTAGGTCGCTTCTTTCAGCATCAAAGTAGACCGGGTGTTCGTAATCGAATAATATGTCGACTTGAGAGTCATCAAGACGGGCGGGGTGATGCCGGAGGAGATGGATAGACGGTGAAGAGGACAGGAACGCCGGCAAGATCAGACCTTGGGAATACTGGATGCCGTACCCACCAGGCTCTAGATTCCTTGCGGTGAAGACCTTTGCCACGTCGACGATGGCGGCTTGTGAAACTCTTCCTGTCAAACACTGGAGCAGGAACTCCTTCCGGGGTTCCTCGAAATCCCTTAAACCATGCTTGCTCGTTGGCGGGATGACCAGGGGAACTTCGGCGAAGTTTTCAAACGGCAATAAAGCATCACGCAGGAGGATGATTCGATGCAGCCATTCATTATAGAGCTGCATCAATTGTGCATTGCTTCGAGGGCCAAGCAAGAGACCGGCGACTTCCTGGGTCCACAAATGACCCTCACATTGGCTATAAAGTTTGATAAGCGACTGTTTGGAACTGTCGGTTTGGATGGACTCTCTTGCATAGTCCACGAGAGCTTCTCCTATCTTCTGGGCTTGCTCTGAGATTTCTCTCCTGGAGGTGTCACTTCTGCCATAAGACAGAGGTAGTGTCGATTCTCGTCCGGTGACTGCTAAGCTTGCAGCCAGCCCATCGATCAAAACTTTTGGAGATGACAACTCTGTACTGTCATCACTCCCCAGTGCATGAAGAATGGAGCCAAGTAATGGTGCGGTAATTTCGACAAGCTCTCGAGCTCGGTATATCCCGGGGCTTGGGTGGCACGCTGGATCCAATTTGGGTTCTTTCTTATTGTTCATGACAGCAGCCTGAAAACTGGATTCCGTCGAAATCTTGTACCCCAAAGTCAGGCTATTGTGTCCGGGTAGAGAGTACGGCTCTTGCGTGGTAGATGGCATGGTGGGGAAAGTGTAGAAAAGTAGTTTGATCTAGGAGAGTGAAGTTGTCATAGACGAGCTCATTGAAGTGTCGTCCACGGGTACGCTGAAAGAATAATATTGTATCTGGTACACCATCCGTTAAATGAAAAGCACACGAGAATCCAATTGCGGAGATTACCACCCAGTTTGTCTCTCCTGGAGAGTGTGGAGTTGCAATTGAAATCTTCGCGGGCCATATGCAAGTGATACAAGAAACTCCGAGTGTGCTACCCCAAGCTGCAGCTCCGATAAATCAAAAATCACTAGTTTATAGATGATTGAATCACAGAGCCTAAATATACCTTGAAAATGTTGACACAAAATATCGCGGTCTGGAATGACCACGGAGTTCCGTTGACATTGGCCCCACTCCTCTATGCACGACGACCACACAACTCCGGCTGATGCTTTCTGAACAACTCAGCTCCGTGCGCTAGGCTACGTTCTTCAATTAGAAGTGACTAGTAGCCTACTGTCTAGCTGTATCTAGACTGAAGTAGGTACTAACCTTAGATTGACGATGTGAATAGTTTAACAATGCAAGAAGCTCTGTAGAAGGCGTGCTGAACTAAAAGCCTCTTTGACATTTGATCCGGTCTCATGAGAGACTTCTCCATAGTGTTTAGATAGACAAGTACGTAAGTAAAATATTGAGGCGAATATTAAATACTCTCCCAACCTTCGAAACAGTCATGATATTTCTCCTTTGATCGAACTATCAGCAACTATTTTTCTCAGCCTTCGAACCCACCAATAAATCAAAGAACTATTCAAGATGTCGAAGTCTTTCCTGCCGTCGTGGATACACGACAAAGGCCTGAGATCCCTGTATCTATGGCTCCCCATTGTCATTATGAGCAGCTCCTATCAGGGCTTCGATGGCATGATCATGAATGGCCTCCAAATTCTTCCATCTTGGCAATCTCGTATGTAATTATAAAAACCGGTCTAAAAACTTGCGAACTGATGAAATCAGAATTTGATTATCCTAGAGGTCCGGTGCTGGGCCTCTTGAATTCTATTCAAACCGTGGGGGCTATGCTGGCCCTACCTTTGATCACGCCAGTTGTGGACAAATTCGGCCGCCGCATTTCAATCTTTTTCGGCGCAAGCTGGACTATCGTTGGTGCCATCCTTCAGGCTTCATCTCACCATCTCGCGCAATTCGTCATCTCTCGATTTCTGATTGGCTTCGGTTTAGCCTTCACGGTGGTGGGTGCTCCGCTTCTTCTTGCTGAGCTTGCTCTTCCTAAGCATCGAGGTGCCATCATCTCATACTATCCAACTTCCTGGTACCTTGGTGCCATTATCGCTGCGTGGGTTACATATGGAACACATAAGATTGACAATGCATGGTCGTGGAGAATTCCTAGCCTCCTGCAGGCTGCCCCAGCTATCTTGCAACTCCTGCTGATCTGGTTTGTTCCCGAGAGCCCTCGTTGGCTTATCTCCAAAGGCCGTGGCAAGCAGGCTAGAGATATTCTCGTCAAGCATCACGCCAATGGGGACGAAAGGAACGCTTTTGTTGAGCTGGAATATCGTGAGATCAAAGAGAGTATTGAAAGCGACGCCTCTATCAAAGAGAAGACTGGTTGGCTAGACTTGGTTCGTACTGCTGGTAATAGACGCCGTCTTATTATCGTCTTCTTCGCTGGACTTTTCATTGAAGTAAGTTGGTCTATACCGATACTATCTATGGTCGCTTACTGATTTTGCTTCTACTAGATCTCTGGCAACGGCCTTGTTCAGTACTACTTGCACGCCGTCCTCGTCAGCATCGGTATCACGGACACAACAACCCAAGTCACGATCAATGGTTGCCTTTCCATATACAACTTCGTTCTCGCCACTATAGCTTCTTTGTTTGTCGAAAAGGTCGGCAGACGAAAGCTGTTCATTGCCTCAACAGCTGGAATGTTTGTCGCATTCATTCTCTGGACAACCTTTGCTGCCCGTAAGCCACAACTGCATGCTGACCGCATGATCTGTATTAACAGTAACTAATCCTATCTCTAGTCTTTACGACGAGAGGCGGGTCCGGATACGCCACCGGCGTTCTGGTCGCTATTTTCCTCAGCAATGGTGCCTATGACATTGGCTGGACACCTCTCTGGGCCTATCCCGCTGAGACCTTGTCATATGACATCAGGGCGCGTGGTGTTACTCTTCAGACAGGAGTCATGCATGCGTTTGGGTTCTTTGGCACATTTGTCAACCCCATCGGTCTACAAAATGCTGGATGGAAGTATTATATCGCTTATATCGTTTATACTTTCCTTGAGGTAAAGTTGATGCATAAGATCTTTTCACCATGCAACAGTATCCCTACTAACACCTTTGACCAGCTACTTGTCGTCTGGTATTTCTTTGTTGAAACCAAGGGATTCACACTCGAAGAAATTGCAGTCATCTTTGACACAGAGGGATTGACTTGGAAAGAAAGACGTAACATGAAGCCATCAGCAGGATCTCTTGAAGCCCTCGCGGCATCAGATGGTGGGGATTCAGTTGCGAAAGATGTCACCGAGGTGTCTACGAAGAGGGTTTCTGATGAGAACATCTGAGTGTTCCAATGGTTTTAATATCGGCTATCGGCAGGAGCAGCGTTGAAGTACCTACTCAATAATGGCTGAATTAGAGAAGGTTTGCACTGAGTTAGGCCTGGAGCACATTCTCTCACGTTGCTGGTGGCCGAGGAATTAGGGATTATGTGGAAATGATTGCAACTACACTAAAATAGGACGCCGTCAAAGGGGTAGGTATAAGAAACGGGAATTGATATTTCTCTCTTTTCCTCAAAACCGAAATTCGATCTCAAAGAGCCACACCACCAGTAATGTCTATGTTGCCTAGACCTAGGCCATTCCAGCTTTAGCTTCGCTCTGCGAGAGTTCTCCAAGGGCTTTATCTTGCGATGTGTTATATGTATCCGCGTAACGGCCCTCCATCCACCGCTGAACCGTGACAGGAGGGTATTTTGGACCTTCAATCTCATCGGCACACTTAGGAAAGCACTTGACGAGGAAGTCGGGGTTCCCAGCAAGAAAGAATGGGACGCTGTACCGTTGCTTCCCGGACTTGTTGATCACCCGGTGTAAATTGGACAGATAGCGGTCATTCGTCCATCTCATCATCAAATTGCCCAGGTTGATGACCAATGCTCCTCGCTGAGGGATAGCATCAATCCAGGCTGAGGCGTCCCTGTCCCAGACTTGCAAGCCGCCTACCTCGTCCTGTAAAAGTATAGTCACAGCGCCGAAGTCGGTGTGCTGTCCAATACCTGTGAATGGCGGTTGAGTCATAGTTTCAGTGCATGGTTAGGGAATATATACATACCTCGTTCAAGCTCCGATGCATCAGGAGCCTGCGGCGGGTAGTGCAACAGTCGAAGTGTGGCGATAGGGATATCCAGAAACTCTGGCATCCATTCGTTGGAGATCTCCATCGTCTCACATAAAACCTGGAGAATGATCTGTGAGAGAGAAAGCATGGTACTATAGTAGGTATCCATGGTCTCTTTGAACTTCACAGGATCCGTGACCTCTTTCGGATACTTATTAGGGCCCATGTTAAATTTTCCCGCGACAACTCTTGGGTGATCCAAGGGAAGATCTGCTCCAAAGTAGTAACCCTCTTTCAAATCGCCAGCCGTTCTTTTCTCAAAATTTTGTGCACGAAGTCTTTCATATCCCCTTTGGAACTTGTCTTGGTCTGCCATTGTAGACAACTTGTCAGCGAGCAGCCGTATGTTTCACCTTTGACATCAGAAACCGACCTTTACTATATCTTTCCTTCACATCGTCTGAAAGATTGAAGAAGCTCGCGCTTTGCTTGATCATTTCGTCAAACAAATCCTGCGGGACTCCATGGTCGACCAGTTGGAAGAAACCGTATTTTAGACAGGCGTCTCGAACCTGAGCTACGACTCGGGCTCTAGAGACATCGTCTTTGCCAAAGATTGCTGCCCGATGCAAAATATCAATTGAGAAATTCTGAGCTTTATAACGGGACGACAGCTTGGAACTTACGAGCGAAGCTTATGGTAGGAATCGGCATAATGTAGACAATTTCTTTTTTCCTTGCTCGAAATCGCAATCGTAATGATTGTGAAAGTCAGCAGATATCCTCTGCGAAATTCTGTGGCTCAAATATATAGTAGTCTCTCAACAAGTAAGCACACGTGGGCAACGCTGATTAGAGTGACTAATCACGGCCGAGATAAGAGTTCCGCTTGTTAAGCCCTGGGATGCCACCTGTGTTTTTAAATTTACGACTGTGTTAGAGGCGTTTGCGTGGCCTAAAATGTTTTCAGGCTACTTGGGTTACCCCGGCTTTCCCCCCTTCACAGCTCACGTAAGAGATCAGTATGGTGTAGGGTGGCACGTATCCGAGCGACTGATAACTGGCCAAAATTAATTTTTATATTTTCGGATTTACTATACCTACCTTCCAGTATAATATCTATATTATTTTTTATATATACCTTCTAATAAAACCTACTTCTAGTATAGCAGTTATTATTTAATATAAAATAGTAAAAAGTTATCTTTAAACCTCTAGGTTTAATTCCTATTATAATAATCTATCTATTTCTATTTTTATCTAAACTTATATAGTAAATAGACTATCTATTTCTATTTAGAGATTCTCTTTATAAAATATTATAAAGATAATCTCTAAATAGAGATAGATAGTTATATTTTTATCTTATATAATAAGAGTATATAAATAAGAGCTAATATATTTTTATTTTTATTTTTTTTCTTTTTAAACTAGTTAATTTTTATTTTACTAGATATTTATATAAGATATCTAGTTACTAATTTAGAATACTATAAGAAGATATTAGCTATTACTTTAGATTAGCTTATACTTATAAGCTAATATCTCTATAAGTAGACTATTTAGTTTATTTACTTTATTAGCTAGATAGTCTAATATCTAAAAAAAAAAGAAATAAGCTTATATAAAAATAAAAGAGAAATATATACTTATTTTAATTAAGAATAAAAGAGAAAGCTATAGAACTAGCTATAGATTCTCTCTTCTTATCTAATAATACTATAATACTCTTATTATTATCTTTAATCTAAATTAGATTTTCTTTCTCTCTAGTAGGAGAAAGTAATCTAATAGATTAAACTTCTTCTTAATATTATATAGAAGCTCTCTATTTATTTCTATTTAAATAATAGATTATATAGTCTATCTATTTATAATTTCTATAGATATCTCTAAAGTAGTTTAGGAGATAGATATAAAAATAGAGGGAAACTATATATAAATCTAGATCTAAAGTAATCTTATTTTAATAAGAATTATAGATATTAGTAATTAGAATATTTTTACTTTAGATTAAGAATATATTTATATAGCTCTATCTATAGTTTATAATCTAGTTCTCTCTAACTTATTCTTATATAAAGATAATCTAATATTTAGGCTTAAGATCTAAAACTATCTACTATAGTATATTAGATATATACTACTAGAGAATATTACTATATATATTTACTCTCTAAAGATAGGAACTCTAGATAATATCTTATATAAGAGAGATAAGAATAATTTATTCTAAATATTAGTCTTATATATAAAAGGATAATTTAAAGGAAGATTTACTATAATCTTATCTTAAAGAGCTACTACTTATTACTCTTACTACTATTACTACTATTTCTTATTAATCTGAGATTAGCTATATAAATAAATATAAGAGATCTAGGGATTCTTTATATACTATCTTATTATTACTATTAGTACTATTATTATTATTATTACTATTATTACTTAAGTAAGCTAGATACTTTAAAAATATATAGGAATTACTTATATATATAGAAAAGTAATATTATTTAAAGAAAAAAAAAAAAAAAAAAAAGATAAAATATAAAAGTAAGCTTTATTTATCTTTATAGATAGTATATATATCTATAAGCTTACTTTCTTCTTATCTTAATTCTACTATATATTAATCTCTATACTAGTAAAAGCTTTATTTTCCCTAATTTAATAGTACTTAAGTAAGTAATAAAATCTCTCTATATTCTACTTAACTAGCTTATTTTTATATAAAATAAATTAAATTATATCTTTTTTTTTTCTTTCTCTTTTCTTTTTCTTTTTTCTAATTTTATCTTTCTACTATCTTATATAATATCTCCTTATATAATTTTAAAATACTATTTAGTAGTACTAGAGGAGTAAATATATAAGAATATTTAGAAAAGTAGTTTATTCTTATCTTTTTACTCTTTCTATAATCTATCTTAGTTAAAAGGGATTTTAATTAATAATAATAAATTTTCAGATTCTACTTTAATCTCTTATATAATAGCTAATTTAAATCTAATTTAAATAATTTCTAGATTCTAAGTACTAATAAAGTATAATTAAACTATTTATCTCTTTAAAGTAAAAGATACTCTTATAATCTAAAAACTATAATCAGAATCTTCTATAGAACTAGAGAAATTATCTCCTAATATAGATCTATATAACTATAAAGATAGTTTTTAGATATAGCTTTATTCTATTCTTTCTTCTAATTAAAAATTCTCTTAAAGAGGATTTATCTTAAAATTAGTAATCCAGCTTAGTATATATATATAAGATAATACTTTATCTTTAACTAATTAATCTATTATAAATACTATTAAGTTTAAATCTCTTTCTTAGAATAATATAGAGAATAGTATATTATTTAAAGAAATCTAGATTAATTATTTTATATAATTATATATAATTAATTTTATTAATTAAAATATCTTTTAGTAGATTAGAATATTATAATTAAAAATAATTAGTTTCTATTAAATTACTCTAGCTTTAGCTTTATATCTAGCTTATATAATTAAGTTACTATTTATTAAGAATAACTTATAGGGGTAGAAGTTCTAAGATAGATTTCTTTTTATTTATATAAACTTCTTACTATATAATAAAGAGAAAACTAAAAGAGATATATTTTTATCCTCTATTTATATAATATTAGTTTAAACTATAAAATTATTAAGTTTTTTATTCTAACTTATTCTAATAAAGTAAGAGAGAATACTAAAAGAAGAGCTTATATTAAAAGAAGAGATTATATTAAAAGAAGAAACTCTTTAAGAAATATAAAAGAAAAATCTTATAAATACTTATATAAGAATAAAATAGTTTAATCTAATATTTTAAATATAGAGTATTAAGAAATACTAATTTATATAGAAATAAATATAGATCTTAGCTTTCTCTTATATAAGTAGGATCTCTATAATAAATCTCTTTATCTTACTATTATATAAAATATTACTAAAGAGATTCTAAAAGTTAATTATTTTAAAATTAGATATTATTCTAATAATTTACTTTAAAAAGTTTATTTTAATTTTAATTAGATCTTATATAAGATATTAAGAATAAGTTTACTTATATATTACTTAAAACCTCCTTATAGAATATCTATTAATTTAAATAAAGATAGTTAATTACTTTCTTAATACTCTTATATAAGTTAGTATAATTATAAATAAGTTAGTATAATAATCTTAAGATTAATTATATCTATATATCTAAGAGCTTAAAGCTAGATTTAATACTAATTATTAGTAAAAGAGATTAAAAAGAAATTAATATTAATATTCTTAAGTAGTTTAAGAAGTATATAAAGAAGATTATAATCTTAATCTTCCTTATTATTATTTAGAGAAATATTCTAATTTTAAACTATCTAGAAATAATAGAAATCTATTAGAATTCTAGAAACTATATATTTATATCTTAACTATATATAGATCTTATATTTATTCTAAAGTTAAATAAAAGAAATAAAAGTATTTTATATATAGTTTCTAAAGACTATATATAGAGTAATTTAATTAGTATTACTCTCTTTAATAAAGAGAGTATAAATAGCTAGTTTTCTAAAGAAATTCTATAGTATTATATTAGATTAATTTCTCTTATATAATAGAGAGTTTTACTATAAATATTTCTATAGCTTCTTTATAGAGAATATACTACTAAGATTTAATTTATATATTTCTATATAATAGTTAGATAACTTATACTAGACAGGGTCTAGGGTAAATTAGAGTTAAACTAATTAGAGTATTATTCTAAGTAATATAATCAGATTATCTTAAGCTATATAATATAAATTACTATTAATATATAAATATTATAGAGCTAGTAATAATAGATATATAGATAATTATATTAATAACTATCTAAAAGAATATTCTATCTAATAAAATAAATATATATATATACTAAGTAGTTTATAAGAGCTTACTAGTAATCTAGAGTAAATTAGACTAAAGATTATATAGGCTTATTAATAATCTAGAGTAATTCTTTTCTTATTAATAGATATATAAATTCCTCTCTAGATCCTTATATAAGATATCTACTAGACTAACTTAAGTAAGAGAAGCTTATATAGCTATCTAAAGATATATCTTTCTTCTAAAGTTAGACCTTATAAAGAATAGCTATATTCTAAAATACTTTATTATATAAAATTACTATTTAAGAGTACTAATTACTATAGTTACTAATTAGTTAATATAAAACTAGATAATATAGTAAGAATAAATATTAATATAGATATATACTTAGAAACTATATTTTTTTAATTTCTTATATCTATTAAAATATTAGAGAAAATTAAATCTAAATACTATAAAATTTATATAATAAATAAATATAATCTCTTTTTATTTCTAAACTTACTTTAAAAAGACTTCTTAATAGAAAGAATAAAGCTAGTTTTAAAAAATTAAAATTTATCTTTTTTATTATATATAAATATAAAGATAACTATATCTATAACTAAGTATTATATCTAACTCTTAATAGTTTTATTTAAGAAAGTTAATTACTCTTTATAGTATAATCTCTCTTTTCTTTCTTATATAAAGCTTTTATTTTATATTATTCTCTTAGTAAATATATTATTATTATTTACCCTAGGTACTAGATCTAGCTAATCTCTAGTCCCTCTATCTAATCTCTAATAAAGAAAAACCTTATATATAGAATAAAAACCTTATTCTACTTATTTCCTTTAT